CTCCTGAGCAGAGGGCCCCTGGGAAAGGGGCTCCAGAACCAGGGCCCCTCCTGTACCGCCCTTTCTCCGCTAGACCAGGAAGCCCTGAACACCGGTGCTCTCCCACAGGGGAGCAAAGCCGGCCTCGCTCTGCGGAACCGGTGCTGCCAGGCCTGCAGGCCCGCCCACGCTGGCCTGGGGAGGGCCCCGGCTCCCCCCTGGGGAGGGGCTTGCATGGTTCTTAAGAGAAACAGTGTTCTCCCCACCAAGGCCCCAGGGGACCTCAGAAAGGCCGGTTTAATCTTTGATGGCCCAGGAAAAGCCCCAGGTTATAACAATTCACAACCACAGGGACAGATGAATGCATTGTGAGTTTTGTTGTGTGGAGTACAGTTTAATCTTAGACAACCTGGGGAGACAGTGAGGACCGAGTGGCCAGATAGATATTTCCAGCCCAGAGGCTGTAAATGGGAAACTGCTCCTCTAAACAGGCCAGGCCAGGCCAGGCGCTGCGTACACCTGAGAAGGTGAATGTGATGCTGGAAGAGCAACTTCCAGGGCCTTCCTGGGTGTGGTCCTGGGTGTGGTGGGGGCTGTGGGGGACGCGGGGACTGTGCCTTCAGGGATGGGAGCACACAGCTGGCCGCTGTGCTTGCCTGACTGCAAAACCTGCCTTCTGACCGCTGCCGTTGCGATTCCCCAAGTGGGGCCGTGGTGTTCTGCCCAAAACAGAGCCTGCGCCCCTCTGAGCGTAGGAATAGTGCCAGTAGTGGCCTCGTTTGAGGTTCAGAGCACAGCAGCATATTCTAAAAGGCCTGCTGTACACAAATGAATTTAAATCTGAATCATGGGGGCATTTGTCCCCACCTCTTTGGATCCTTTACCTTCACTGCTTATCGTCGTAACAAACATCCTGCAGAATGGGGTTGCGTGTCACCGCAGGGAAGTGTTCTGTTCCACCGTGTTGAACATGGGATGGGAGGGAGGGTGGCAGGGAAGAGATTCCAGGAACAAGGCTCCTGGGCGCCCAGGGGTCATAACCTTGGGAGAGAAGTTCCCGTATTTATTCCCGAGAGAAGGGAGATTGCGCCAGACCTGAAGGAGGCAAGAGGGGGTGTCCAGGGATGATTTTCTTGCTTGGAAAAGTACATCTTCTCTTTAGGGAGCAGGGACCTAAGCAGGGGGCTCAGAGGGTGGGGCTGGGAGGTGCAGGTCAGCCGCCGGGACCCCACGGTGATGGTGCACCCTGGGCAGCAGAAGTCCCTGGCCCATGTCTCTTGCTTTGTGCGTCTCTTAACAACCCATCCTATGTTTCTCTTTTGTTTTTAACCACTTCCCCCTTCTTCCACCCCTGAAGACCTCCTTCTCCCTTCTGCCCAAACATATATCCCCTGCACTCATTATACTTCTCCCAGGCTCTCTCTCGGTCTGTGTGTGTAATTACCCACAAAGAGGAATCAAATGTGAGCTGGTGTGTGTTTACATTTGTATCTGAAGTTACTAAAGTTACTAGATAGAGCTTCTTGTTCCCTCTTCTTCAAAACAGCTAATTTGGCATTTTACATTTCTTCTTGTATCCCTAACCCAATTATGTTCCTTATGGTTACAAGCGATCTTCGACCAATTTTATTTTATCCACCAAGCGCCCACTCTGGCCTCACTAGTTTTGTCTCTAACCCTTGGTAACGCCACAGGACTGGGCGTGCCAATTCGGAGGGCTCGTGGGTGAGCCCTGACTGCCCAGTCCCCGCTCACCGCCGTCCTGAATGTGCCTGCGACTGAGTGAAATGCAGCGAGACAGGGCGTCAGAGGGGAGCTGCTGTGTGGGGAGAAATGGTTGAATGGAAAATTATTTTTTCTTTCCCAGTAATTGTTTTGACATGAGCAGTAATTAGCCAACAGCTGACAGCCCAGAACTGAAGCGAGAACAAGACCATGGATTGGGGAGGAATGCCCTGTGCGAGACAGTCCAAGGCCGCCGTCAACGCGCGGGCCGGGAGCCTGGGGACGCTGGACGTGGGGGAAAGGAAGCAGCGGGCTGGCCAAGGGTGCGCCTGAGGTGCTGTGAAGGGCGTAAGGAGAGGTCAGAGGGCAGAGCTGGGGACAGCCTGGGTTTACAGGGATCCCGCTCCATCAGAGGTAGTGACCGATTCCAAACTAAGGCCTGCTCAGGTAAGAGCATCGTGTTTTATTGTCCTGGTCCCACGGAGTGCAGGCTCTGCTTTTGTCGTCATGGGTGGCTTTTAGGATGAGGGTAGTGCGGGAGCTGTGTGACAAGCTGGGAAACGCATGGCATCTTTCCATGCTGCGGCGCCGCTTGTGCCTCAGGTACGTCCGCGTTGAGTGTTTGAATGGGTTTGCCCACCCAGCTGTCTGGGTCCAGGGCCTGTTGGAGGCAGGCCATTTCCGAAGGCTTTACTCATTCTAGTGGCCTTTGAAACTGTTGTGATGACTTGAATCTAGGGAAGGTTTTGTATTTATTAGAGAGATTATAAATCCTATGCTCCTGCACTGAAAAAATATCTACTGTGTTGGTTATGCTTATGTTTTCTTTCTAGTTCCCAGGTTGAGCGTTTGTGTTCTCTTTCACTTTCAAATGACACCGCTGATCTGCCTGTTTTATTGCTGTGACCACCCCTTCCCCGCAAAACACGCGGAGAACCAGCCAGGGCTGTTAATGTTACCCTGTCTCCTAACTCATGAACTTCTGTTGCCGTATTTATATGTCTTCCTCATGTTTTCCTTTGGTTTATTTCATTGGTTTTTGAATTTTTTTCTAAATCTTAAAATGGAATGTTTACTTCATTTATTTTTATTTGTCCTTGGCTTTGGTAATGGAATAATTAAGGGTATATAGATTTTCCTCCAAATATCATTCAGGCTTTGTCCCATTTGTTTTTGTTATGTTCTTTCTCATTATCTCCTAAATATTGTTTAATTATTGTTTTAAATTTCTCTTTGACCTGAGATTATTTATCAGGGCATTTTCTTACATTTCTAAACACTTGGGAGTTGCGGGGATGGGGACTTGTGTCTCTGTTCTGTTATTATTGATATCTACTTTTATTACTTTCTGCTCAAAGAATGTGGCTTGTGTTCTTTATGCCCTTTGCAATTTATCAATGCTTTATTTGTGGCTTAAGTTTGCCCAAATTTTTCTTCTCAGTATTCTGTGGCTTCTTGGCTAAAGATATTATCTTTGTTTGGGGGGTATTATGTTTCATACACCTAATTCAATCAGCTCTTTAAATTAAATTACTGAGATTTTCCACAGCCGCACGTTTGTCCTCTAGTCAGCCATCGGCTGGAAGCGGGGCATGAGTCTCTTCTCAAGTCTGCTGGTCTCTTCAGGTTCTCCAGCCTGGGCGTTCTTTCCAAGCCAGTGCCATGCTGCATGATGAGGAACGTTCCTCGAATGTTCTGCCTTCCGTTGGGGTTGTATTTAACATCAGTCTAATGTCCTTGGTGCCATAGCTTCTGCCAATATGAGTAGACTTTCCTTGCCTACCACCCACCCCACCCCGGGCATGGCATTCTCTGAAGCTCTTGGAATCCTGGTCCCCTCTTTACCTGGGGACTCCTAGGTAGTGTCAGCGTTTGACCGGCTGCCTGAGGGGCAAGTTAAAACAGGACTGCGGCTGCCCACGTGGGGTTGGTTTATTTCTTGTTGCTTCCCAAGCCACCGCAGCGGGGGCCACGCCTGTGCTCACCCATCTTCAGGAGTGTAGGGCCGACCTTGCAGGTCAGGGAGCAGCCCAGCTGCCCACAGGAGTCTGCTGGGTGTGGCCCTGTTCACGGGTGGCCCTGGAGTGTTCACTGCAAGCAGTGCAGGTGGGGGCACCCCCAGCATGAGGAAGGATCCCCGTGAGTAGCCTTCGTCACCCCATTGCCTGCCTCCCGCGCAGGCCGCTCCAGATGAGTAGGGGCTGCTGACTCCTAAGCGTTCTTCCCTGTTCCTGCCACACCGCAGAGCTCGCTCCACACAGCTGTGGTCCGGACGTCGGCTCATTCCTCTGTCTCTGGTCCGACCTGCGCAATGTGTGCATTGTAACCCTTTTTCCAGCAGGCTTTCTTGGTCTCCCGTGATCATGCAGCCTTGGGGATCAAGGAGATTAGATTCAGGAGCAAGGCAGTAAATCTCCCTCTCTTTTTTCAGGAAGTCCTTTAAAATTTACAGATCCATTTTGCAAGTATTGTCTCGTTCGATTTTCATACCCACAAAGTAGGCTTGGCGACTGCGTAGGCTTATCCCCCTCTATGGACCCGGAAGCCGAGGCTCACTAAGGAGGAGCCGCGCCCCGAGCTCACCACGGCACCCTGAGAGCAGCGCTGCCTTTGGGAGCTGAGAACACACGGCCGTGCTGCGCACTCCTGACGTCAGGGCAGATGGCGGCAGGGCTGCAGGTCGGCTCTGCCCCCGCCCGTCTGTTAGGTCACATGGGAAGCGCAAGTGAATGTCCCAGGGGTAGAATTTTAGAGCCTTGAATTTCTTTCCTTCCTTAACCTTGAGACAACCGACTCAAGAAGGATGTCCTATGATCACCCTGATATTAATTGGCTAAGACAGTTGTCATGGAAACCGGTAAACAGTCCTCTTTCCATTATAGTTATATCACACAGGGACAGTGAGGGTGCAGAGGGTCTCAGAGAGGAGTTGGCAGGGGGGCATTACAGGAAGGTGCTGGTGGGACCTTCTGACTCCAGAGAGAGAGACTGGACCCTTGATCTGCACCAGGGACCACAATCGATGTGACATTTTCAGTGCTGGCCATCAGCTTATCATGGCCTCCCCTCTTATAAGCACATTCCTTTTCCTCTCTGGTTCACAAGGAAACTTGGTTGTCCAAAGTCCAGTAATGGGGGCTGGGGACTAGGGGGATGCTCTCAATCTCTGTCCATACGGGCGAGATGCTGGGAAGTGGTCCCAGCCGCGCGGTAGGAGAAGGGGCTGCAGTTGCGGAAGGCCAGAGGTGCCCGTCTGTGGCCAGCGCAGCCTCTCAGCGGTGTTTCTGTCCCCGCAGTGAATGGATACCACGCATCGGGGACCCCAGCACACCCTCCCGAGACTGCCCACATGAGTGTCCGCAAATCCACCGGCGAGTCCCAGGTAAGGGGGCCTGTTACCAGAGGTTGGGGTGGACATGGATACAGGATCGGGGAGTTTTCGCTAAAATGGGCACATCATGGCGGAGAGGCTGGCTACAGACAGCCCACTGGTGCCCTGAGTAGCTGGCCGCTCTGGGTCAGCCCGGTGCACCATTACAGTTTGCTTGGTTTCCTCTGGAAGTTGGGGGTGGTTTGGCGGGGGGATGGTGATGGGCGTGTAGACGCTGTCAGGACCGGGGTTTCCCGCCTGCTGTCTGGGTTCCTGATGCAGAGGCTCGGTTTCCCATGACTTTAAGAACACAGACGAGGCCAGGCCATTTTCCTTTTCTGCATGTTCCCTTCCTGCCCAGACCTCACCCAGAATGGAATTTTGTAAAGTGTTTGATCGCATTCAGTAATCTAGCGTGGAGACAGCTGCAGGCTGAGAGAAACAGGAGTAAATCTTAAGATTCCCCAAACTGCTTTTGCACCAATCGTCTCAGCGGACACTTGTGCAAACACATGGGGCAGGCGGCAGGACCGTTCCTCTGTCACAGAGGAGGTCACCGAGGCCCAGACTGGTTAAGTGAGTCGCGCAGTTTGACATGATCACTAGGCGGTCAGACTGGACTCAGGGTTCTCAGTGGCGTTAAGCTGCGTCCAGGGGACTGCAGACCAGTCTTACTTGGCCTGTCCGTAAATTATCTATAGGCATTCTCAGTGAAGCCTCCAAACGCCATCAACCCTGTCTGGGAATTAAAATGCCAGGCCCCAGGGTGATGGTGGTCCTGGTGAGGATGCTGATGATGACGACCACGACAACAGATGCTTCTTAGCAACAACGAGTGCGTGCCGGTCACTGAAAGGAAGACCGTGGGGTCTGTCACTATGGCCAGCTCCAATGGGACGCTTAGCTTGAACACAGGCAAGAGCATTTGTTTTCAGAAACGTAATTACATTGTTGTCTTAGGACACTGAGCGCTGGGCTCAGGGTCAGTTCCGTTAAAACCCTGGGAAAGAATTTGGACATTCTTGTGGGCCAAGGCTCCTTGGACTCAAGACTCACCAAGCCTCCTATTAGAATGCAGATTCTGGCTCAGGAGGCCTAGGCAGGCGCCTGCGGTTCTGTGTGTCCAGCCGGCACCCAGGCGATGCTGCTGATGGGGGGACGCACCTCGGGCAGCGAGGGTCTGGGCGCAGTCGATGGTGCACACACGTGCAGGTGTGTCCCCTTCGGTCCCCTGCTCAGGGCTCACGTCAGGGCCCTGGCCTTGTCGGGTCCTGCCCAGCCCCCGGCTAGCCTCCTCCATGCAGCCTCTGGCAGTCTGTTTGACATGAAGCTCATCTACCACCTGACTGCGGAATGTCTTCTGAAGACATCAGCCTAAGTTCTGCTGTGGTTTATCAACAACTGGAAAAGCTGGGGCTGCCCTGGGCATCATCAGGAAGAATGTTGGACATAATCTCCCTGCCCCCCCATCATTCTTCCCTCCTTCCCTAATAGAACCTGGCTCCCCCGCCCCCAATACTACAGAGTTGTTACTCAACCATTTAAAACAAAACGTGTACTGGCAACAACCTTCTCAGAAGCCACTGGACGTTCTGTGCCTTAAGACTTTAGCCCAGGAATCTCCCTTCCAGCATCTGTCCTTAGGGTGTACCCAGGGATTCTGATCTGCGTGCGAAGCAGTTCACTCAAGCAATATAGGCAGCACTGGACCCAACCTAACCATCCGGCAACAGGGGATGCACAAGGTGGATTATGGCACCGAACACCCCGCCCACTGGTGACAGCAGGCAGTCATTAAGAAAGCTTCCTTCTGAAGAAAATTTATAATTTAGGGAAATGCTGGGAACATGATAGTGAGTGGAAAAAGCAGAACCCAGACTGCATACAGAGTCGGTGTTATGTGGGGGCAGGAGGTCTGTAGATGTGGGAGGACAAATAACTGGAAGAAAAGTAAACCAGGCATGGAGGGTGGTTCAGTCCGCATCGGAGACTGTGGTTCTCCATTGGGACATTTGTCAGTGTTTGGGGACCTTTTGACTGTCACAGCTGGGGTGAGGGTCCTGCTGGCTTGTAGCTAGTAGGGGTCAGTGACGTTCCTAACCACCCCACAGCGCTCGGAGCAGCCCCGCCCCCACAGGCTTACCCAGTTTGAAAAGATGGATGGTGCTGAGGTTGAGAAACCTTGGTCTTGGTCACGTTCATTTCCTTTATACTTTTCATTATTTTTCAAATTTCCTGCAATGAGCACATTTTACTTTTACAGAAGGCAGGTAGAATAAGCGTTAAGAAAAAAGAAGGAGTTAGAAGTGCGGCGCTGGTAGTTAGGGATGCAGTGAGGGCCCGCTCCGGAGACCCAGGCCTGTGCAGGACACAACCGTGCAGAAACAGTGGAGGTTTTGGATGATAATGTTGACGATTGTATCCTCAAAGTGCCAAGAACAAATAATGCAGTACATGGAGAGAGCAAATATGCGAAGGTGCGCAGATTCCCAGAACTGTTGCGTAAGGTAGAATGGCGTTCTCTCAGGCAGAGCAGGCTGTCCGCAAAGGTGCGAGAGCCCAGGCATGGAAATAGAAGAAGGTTTGGTATTTACAGAGAGCGCTAGCAACAGACCACCCCAAAGGATATACGGCGCTCTTCCGCCTGCGTGTTATTTACCCACACAATCCCAGGCTGTCTGTTATAATTAATAACCGTTATGACTTAATATTTGAAGAGTGAATGAAGGAGCAAATGAACACATGGCTATTTGCCATGCAGGGTGGGAGTGGACAAAGTAGCTTGTTCAAACCCACTTTGTGTTTCCTGCTCCTTGGTAGCTGCCTCTCTTTCAACAAGCTCATCAGGAACATTACATTGTTGAGGGGTGGTGGGGGTGAGGAGTATACCTAATCTTTATGGAAACCCGAAGCGTGTCCCCACTCTGCTCTGTCATGGGCAGGACTGATGGCTGGGTGTCCAGCAGCCCCAGGACGCCTGCCCCTCCTTCTCCCAGCCTTGGTGGAGGCTCGGCCTGCACAGGGGGTGGCGATCTGGCGCCACCCAGTGGAAGTCTTCAGGTCTGCAGCCCGGGCAGGCTGCCTGGGTACTGGACCAGTGGGGCCCACCTGATTGGAGAGGCAGAGGAATCAAAAGCTGAAAGTCTGGCTGGCCTTTGGAGAAGCACATCCTCGCCTGTCCTCTGCCTGCCTGGATTCCCGGGGAGAAGGGGAGCGCTGTGGTGGTGGGGACCCTGTCAGATCCCTTAGCAAGGTGTGAGGAAGGCAAGGGACCTGCCCACCAGTGCCCAGGCCCTTTTGTGACCCACCTTTCAATTGCCCTGGCTTCCCTTGAACTTCCCCCCAAGGAAGACACAGGAGAAGGCAAAGGGAGTGGGACGAAGGGCTTGGAAACTTAAGGGACCCATGGAGAGTAGGGTTTGAGGTAGAGGAAGAGGTGAAATACTGAGCGCTCATCTACTTAACCCTCTCTGCCCCGCCCCCCTTCAATAACACATGTTCTGTTGAGCGTGACCTTTTTTGCCAGGCACTGAGTCATGGATAGACATAGTCCCTGCCCTGATGGAGGCTTATAGCCAGTGCTGAGAAAGGCAGGAGGTAAATGACTATTTCATGTCAGCGGTGGTAACAGCTGGAGGGAGGGTGTGCCACACGGCCCTGGCAGGGTGGCGGGTGGCGGGGAGTAGGAGTGGGGATGTCGGGGAAGACCCCTTTAGGAAAGATACTTAAGCTAAGACTGGAAAGGAGCAAGGGCTCAGGTTGGCAAACAGGAGAAACGGCATTGCAGGTGCAGGGAACAGCAGATGTGGGTGCTCAGAGGCAGGAAGGAGAGCCATGATTTCAGAGGGTCCCCAGAGCCCGAGCCGGGCTGTGGGTCACTAACTCAGCAGGTGTGGGGAGGGTGCAAGGCGAGGCTGGAAGCACCACACAGGCCTGTGGTGGGGAGCTCCGGTTTTGTCCGAGCAGTGCCGGGGAGTCTCTGAGAGGTCTCATCCTGTACCCTGCCCGCCCCGGGCCAGGAGACGGGCTGGGGAAGACAGGCAGAGTGGGGCTTGCAGAAGCAGCCGTGAGGGCCCACCCCCACCCCGACCCCGCGGCCACCCACCAGGCACGGCCTTCGCCACTCTCCTCGCTGCGCAGTGACCTCAGAGCAGCCCAGGCGAGGTGGGGAAGCCAGGCTGGGGGCATTTTTAAAAAGGGAAGGAGAAAAACTTTCTGGAATCATTGGCAGAGGATATTCAAAAGAAAAAAAGAAAAAAACACTTTTATTATGGACATGTGTGAACATTTTGAGAAGTAGAAGGAATACTATAATAAAGGACCATGGACCAATCCTTTCACTTCAACAATTATTCAGCCAGTCTCATTTCATTTATATTCCCAGTCCTTGCCCCTGACCGCCTCCCCACCCCCCACCCCCGGGTCATTTTAAAAGCAAATTCCTGACACATTGCAGTTTTAGCTGTAAACGTTTTATAATGTATCCAAAGGGGAAGACATAACCACAATACCGTTAGCACACTTAAGAAAACATTAATTCAGTAATACCGTCTAATACACACAATCCATATTTCCAACTCCCCAGATGCCCTCAAAATGACTGTTGTAGCTGCTTTTCTCCCCCATCCAGGGTCCATTCACATTGCACACATTGGTGCATTGGTTGCTTTATCTCTCTAGTTTCTCTCTCTTTTTACAACATCTTTATTGAGATATCATTTACATAGCATGCAGTTCACCCATTTCAAGTGAACGACTCAGTGGTTTTTAGGATCGTCACGACGTTGCGCCGTCTTCGTCACAATCAATTTTGGAATATTTCCATCACCCAGAAGGGAATTTCCCTAAGCCTTAGGCAGCCACGGGTTGACTCGCTCTCCCTGTCCGGCTGCCTGTTCTGGATGCACAATGCGAACGGCATCGTACCACGTGTGCTCCTTTGTGCCTGGTCCCCTCTGCTTAGCGTACCGGGTCAGCCCTTCATTTTATTTTTATTGCCAAATAATATTCCATGGCATGGATTTACAGTTTTATTCTAAATTATCACATCAGTGCCTTTTCATCTTGACGGTAATTGCTACCCATCTGTTCTTTTGTCTTTCCTCATACTGACTTTTTGGGGTAAGAGTCCCAGTCTGTTGTCCTGTAGAAGGATCTACAGTCTTGGTCTGATCGTTTTCTTTTGCTTAGACCCGGGTCCAGCCACTTGGCCGAGAGTCCGCCTGGGGCCGGTTGAGCGCATCTCGCCGTGTGTCTGGAGCCACACACTCCCAGGTTACCCGCCCGCTGGGTGATGCAGAGTTTGAGCTCTTGCTTGATGGGGTGATGACCAGATGTCTCCTTCACAGGGGCGGCTTTTGGCTTTTTAATTTGTCAACAATAGGTGGGGTGATAGGGTGAGGTATGTCCCTATCCTCGTCCCTAACAGTTGGTCTCTTCACTGAGTGGTCTGAGCACCCTTGACAATCGTGGCCTGAATCCGTATTGACATTGGGGTTTGCACATGGCGATTTTCTAATTCTTTATCCACCGTCAATGGGCATTTTCCTGTAAAGGATGCTGCCCCCCTCCACCCCCACTTCTGGAGTTCATCACTTGTAGTCATTTTTACATTCATGCTCAAATTGTTCCAAATTTGGCTTGTGGGAGCCCCTTTAAAGTGGCTTCTGTCTCCTTTCATTATATCACATCATTTTAACACTTTTTTACCTCCCAGAACAGTAAGATGTTCCAGGCCCACCCAACATTGGGAAGCAGCTGTTTCTCAGGGAGCCTGAGCTCCTCCCAGCAGGGGATAGTATTCAGAAACCAACTTCCAGCTCCTAGGTGGTCCCACTGGGGCTGAGGCGTCCTTCCTTCTGGGCCTTTCAGTGGAGTGCTGCAGGGTGTGTGTGCGCGTGCATGCGTGTGCACTATACATGTGCATGCATGTGCCATGTTTATATGTCTATGTGTATGACATTGGAACCATAGGCACAGGTCATCAGCAGCAAAGACAGAGACCGCCCCTCCAAACCTGTGATCCCCCGCTCAGCGCTGGCTGGAGCAGCACCACTAGCAGGGCAGAGACGGGAAGGTGCCCCCACACTTAGAATGTGCCCCCCTCACCATTACTTGCACTTCTGCCTCGGCCCAAGTAATAGGGAGGAGGGTGGCCTCTGTGCCCAGTGTCATTCCACAGAGCCTCAGACACAGTGATTCCAAAGTCAGTGTTTGTGGGTGACAGCGACCTTTCTTGACCCCAGGTGCAGAGAGACCTGGAAAATGAGAGATCGTCTCACACTGGAGAGATGGCAGGGGACAGAGGAAGGAGTTACCCAGGCTGGGCTTCCCATACCCTCTCTTTTTCTTGCCTTGTGGCCCTGGACAGGTCCGCTTGCTTCCGCCAGCCTCAGGCCCACCACCTGCGAAATGGAGATGGCGCCACTGGACCTGCCGGTGCTGTGAGGGGGGTTAAACGGGGCTCAGCATGTCCAGTGCTGAGCCTGATGCCTGGGAGGCAGTCACCGGGTGGCAGCGCTTGCTCCCTGTCCTAGTCCCCCTCCTGGTCCCCCTCCTCGCTGCGAGCAGCCATAGCATCAACACGCAGACCCGAAGGCTGTTGCCGAGGCTGCCAGAGCACAGGCTGCCCTTCCTGGGGGGCCGGAGTGGGAACGTGCTGGGGGCGCGGCGGGGGTGACATGTCAGCGACAGGAAGACTCCTGCAAACTGCAGAACCCTCCCCCCAAGACCCGCCTTCTGCCTTCGCCCTCCTTGCACAGTTGGCCCCTGAGGAACACGGGCGGGAGGGGCGGGCTTTGGGACTCGAGCCCTGCAGAGTCACAAATCTATGTATAGCTTTTGAGTCCCCAATAACTTGACTACAGCCCCTCGGTATCTGTGGGGGGTTGGTTCCAGGAACCCCAATGGACACCAAAGGCTGCACATATGCAAGTGCCATAAATAAAATGGACATACAGCCCACGCTCTGTATTCATGCATTTCCCAGGTGTGGACGGAAAATACGCACAGGTTGAGTTTGAGGATGTGAAACTGGATCTGGAGGGCTGACTGTACATTTGTTGAAAAAACACTTCACATACAGGTGGGCCGTGCAGCTCCAATCCATGTCGTTCGGGGGTCAAGTGGATCTGCTCGGCCAGTGCGTCTGTGTGGATGAACCTTCGAGAGCTCGGCACCTGGCTCTTTGTCTTGGAGAGTGGCACCTGAGCTCATGCCAGGCAGCCTCTGTCTGCCTTCCCCCAGGGCAGTTCAGTTCCCACAACTGCGCTAGGACAGAACCAATGACCCGGGAGTGTCGGGGAGTTTGGGGGGGTGGACGTGCACTGGATGAGCAGATGCATCAACAACATTGGCCGAAGCTATCATTGGTCCCCAGCCTGCCCGTGCCTGGATCCTGTTAGGGCTGCGAGGGGGGCTGCCGGAAGTTAGGGGAGCGCCAATGAAGTGACAGAACGTAGACCAGCAGGTCTCCAGGAGAGGTCCCCAGACTCTGTATCAGAGGCGCTGGCCTGCCCCAGGCCCCCTAGATCAGAAGCTCTGGGGGACGTGGCTGGGACGCGATGTGGGGCACATTCCTCAGTTAGTTCTGATGCACCCCAAAGCTTGAGGACTGTTGATAACAAATGGTGAAACTGAAGCTCAGAGAAGTCACGTGACTTGGCAGGATGGGAAGGCTAGTGAGTTCACGTTCTCTGTGACGTGAGTGATCCGTGAGGTCCTTTTTGTCTAGACCGTCTTAAGGTATTGATTTTTGTTCATTGAGTTTACTTACCAGCCAAATAGGTCTGGAAGTGAGTGGGGGAGGGGAAGCCGAAGCAGGCGCTCAGTCAGGCCGCCTGCGTTGGGCGATCCGCAAGTGGGCTCCTGAGGCGGGCTGGCCCAGTGGTGCAGGGCTGTGCCTGTCTGGAGACCAGGGGCTTTTGGGTCCCTGGGGCTTCTGGAGAAACCCCTCCACACTTTTTCTGGGACTTTATCTGTAAAATCCTGACAGCCACTTCCTTCCATTCCACTAGGGAGAGAATTGGGACTCACATACTGTGGCCGCATGCCGTGCCTTAGGGGTGAGCCTGCTTCCCAGCCTCTGCGTGGCTCAGGACAGGCACAGACGGCCGTCCTGCCTGGAGACCCTCTTGAATCCCTAATGCAACTGCTAATAGTGTGACAGTGAAGACCCAGCAATGACCCTTCCCTTTAGGTCACAAGCTCTTAGGAGCAACGTGGCATTTTCCGCTGGCCATCCTCAGTTTTCCACCCCGGAGCCGTCCTCGGACTGGGGCAAGCTGCTGAGGACACGTGGGCTCAGACGTGCTTGGGACAGTGGTTTCCTTGCCGGCAACAGAAAGACATAAAAAGGCAGTTTCAAGTCTGATGAAAGCTGGAACACGGCTTTCGGCTGAGAAACCCCTCCCTGCTGTCAGGGTAGCGGGGTGCCAGGGGGGCTGAGGCACAGGGCGCACGCATAGGGTTTGATCTGCCTGACCCGAGGGTTCAGATTAAGATGTCATGTTCTGAATCCTCAGTGCCACAAGGTGGTGGCCAGCAACCTCCCTTAACTGTCTGCTCCCCAGTGGGTTCTGCAGGTTCAGGCAGCAAACAGCACGCAGAGCCGCTTACCAGCAGAGGGCAGCTGAGGGGTTAACTCCCAATTCGCTGGCTGCCGAAGAAGAGGAGGCCAGCCTGGTTTGGAGCAGTTTCCCCAGAGCCTTGAGCCCAGCACAGGAGCGGTGCGAGGTCAGGGGTCCTCCCACCTGCCCTCCTCCGGAACATGGTGACTTAGGAGTTAACGGCAGGCTGAACATCCCCAAACTTCCCCAGCACGAAGCTTTGAGCCAGTCCCACCTTCAGGGAGAGCGAATGAAAAAAGAGGGTCCAATATGGAGAGCAGCTTTGATGATGCTTCTTGTCTCTCTCTCCAGAACCTGGGATCCTCGTCACCAGGCAAAAAGCAGAGCAAGGAGAACACCATCACGGTAAGTGGCTCCCCCGGAGCGCTCGCTGGTTGGGCGGCCGATGGGGGCTCTCGGCCACAGCTGGGCTGTTGTCATGGCAACGCGGATGGCCAGCAAGTAGAAGTGATGCCCAGCCTGGAATCTGGGAAGTTCCAAAGCTTGGATGGAGCCAAAGTTCCCCCTGGGTCCCCCTTTCTGTCGGTTTCACACCTCACTTTTCTCTCTGGGGAACGGGTGGAAGGATGGAGGTTGGAGCGATGCAGAAGCCATTTCTACAGGGCAGGCAGGAGTGGGATGAAGGGGGCGGGCTGTGCTCTGTGCAAGTGATGTGACGCGTAAATTACAGCCATAGCAGGCTTGCTTTGGTGCGGGGGTAACTTCTGGAAGATGTCAAAGTTAAAAAGCAAGAGAAAGGTCCCTAAGAATAGATCCCTGGGAGTTCCTGATAGCAAGCAAATAGCGTCAGCCTTGAGTAGCCACACCCCTTCCAAAAGCCCACCAAGCCCCCACGTGCAGGCCGAGAAGGACCCCCCCATACCCATCAGCCCTGTGCCTGGGGTTTGTGGGCGCTGGACATCGGTGCCCCTTCCAAGTGGGCGGACAGTGTCCGGGTGCTGCAACAGCCAAGGACTTGGAAGCGTGAGCAGCATGGTCCTCACTGTGCCATTTGAACACAAGCCCAGCAGAGCTGGGGACGGGGAATCGCTCCATCAGGCTCCATCACATGCAGCTCGGAGCATTTCCTATCACCCCCACAGAGATGAACCCAAGAGGGAGTGCGGCCCCTTGGCACGGGCAGGCTGAAAACCCGGCTTGGGAGGAAAACCAGCGTAACAATAATCGCTGCCACTTTCGTGTGCATTTATTATGCACAAGGAGCATTCCAAGCGGCTCACTTAGCTCCCCACTCTGTCGTGTGGTGATTGTGAACCGGGGCTCTGAAGCCAGAGTGGCAGTGACAGGACCTGCCTGCCGCGCAGCCTCCGGGGACAAGTCTCTCTGTGCCTTTGTGTCTCGTCCACATCTGTGCAGCGGGCACATGGTGGGTGCCTGTGCCGTGAGGGAGGGTGTGGGACTGAGTCCGTGTGCAGAGCCGCTTAAAACAAGGCCTGGCCCGTAGGAAGTGCCCAGTGCACGTTCATATTCTCATCACCCTGTTGACAGATGAGGAAACTGAGGCACGGAGCCGTGCCCCGCCCAAGGCCACGCAGCCGGGGACACTGGGACTCCAGGCCTGTGCCTTTACTGCCCCACCCGCCCCAGCAGTGGAAGGCGCCGCCTGAGGTGGTCCACTTTCTAACTGCGTGACGGCGGGCAAGGGACTTAACCTCTCAGTGCCCCGGTTTCCTCGCCTGTGCCTGAGCTCACACTAGGTCACTGCAAATGAGCGTTCTAGCTCTAGACGCTCAGGACACCAGCCTCCCCGGCAGCCATCGCCGTCCCCCTCCACTGCCACAGCCTCCCTCTCCCTGGACTCAACCCTCCCACACGCCGAATTTTCTGTCTGTCCACCGGGCCGGTCAACTGAGGGGTTCTGAGCGTCAACACTATTGACATTTCAGGTTGGATAACTTTGTTGTGGGCGCAGAGGGGGACAAAGTCACCCTGAGCACTGTAGGATGTTTACCAGGATCCCTGGCCTCCACTCACCAGATGCCAGTGGTAGCAACACCCTCCCCCCTGCCCCAGGTGTGACAACCAAAAATGTCTCCAGGTTACCAAGTGTCCCCACATCAGGGGAGGAGAGGCAAAGTCACCCCAGTAGACAATCATGAATTAACTTCATGGTACAGTGAGGCCTGCCTGCAAAGTCTATTCCACACTCCCCCGCTCCTGCAATTCACCGCGCTGCCCCAAGCCACCGTCACGCGTGCTGGCCACTGCGCAGCCTCCGCCAGCGGCTGAGGTCGCCTGCGTCCTCCCACCAGGGCGTGCTCCGCGCTGCAGCTCACCGGAGAGCCGCCCAGTCACGTCACTCCCTGCCAGGCACTTCTACAGCTCCCACGCCGGCGCCGGCCCCTCTGGCCTCCGGGTCGGCTGCTCCCTGACTGTGATCGCGGGCCACGCGGTGCACCTGTGGACGTCCAGCCCTTTTCCTCCCTGCAACACTCTTCCCCTCCCCCCCTCGTGTCTGACTCTTGTTTCCTAAACATCGTCCCCTCTGTGATCCCTCCCCTTCACGCAGCCCCTGCCGCCACACGTAGATTTATCCCAAAGCATTGCAGTTCCTTACTTGTACTCCTTCCGCACGAGGCTGTAACTCCGTTGAGGGCGGAGGCTACACCTCCATCTCTAGCCTGCAGTCATTGCACCAGGAAACACTTGCTGAGTGCCATGGCCTGTGCCTGTCACCCGGTGCCTGTGCCTGTCACCCGGTGCCTGTGCCAGCCTGGTGGAGGGAAGCAGCAGGAAACGGTGGTCTTCCCCATCCCTCCCCCTCTGCCGCCGCCCCGCTCCCCCACAGCCAGTCTGGCAAGGAAGAGAGATGCTAAGTAAACAGTCACAAGAAATTTAATACCAATGTACGTTCACACGGGGCTGGGAAGATGTAGTGCAGTGCGTGGCACCAAGCGGCCCTTCAGCGTGGCAAGCACACTAGCAGGTGTTCCAGGCACAGCAAGCATCGTGGCTGAGGTTTGAGCTCTGCTGCCTGTCCTCTGCATTCAAATACTGTCTCCTGTGGTCCTGGGTTTGCTCATATGAAAGGAGCAGGGTTGCTGAGGATGAAGTGAGAATGACGGTAAAGCTCTTGGCAGGGTGCCGGAGGGAGGCTCCCCAGGAATTCCAGAGTCATTACAACGGACTCCCGGGGGCAGTGAGTGCAGTTCTGAAGATGCCCAGCAGGGCGTGCAGAGCTCTGTGAGGTTTCGGAGGAGGAATCCACACACCAGCCAACAGAGACAGGAACACCAGTAGCTGCAAAACCCTACCCCCCCCCCCCCCCCGCCCCAGGCCAGTGTCCCCAGAGTGGCAGAAGCCACAAGAGCAATGAGGCCTTATCCTCCCCAATCTCCTCTCCCCCCGCCCAGCTGGCTCTCCTTCAGTGGCTGCTACAGGGCCATTTGGGGGGCCCTTTGCCTTCCAGATCCCTGACAGGGCACTAGAGAAGACACTATACCTCCCCAAGTGCCTTCAACCACCTACTTCCATGGTTCTTGATTCCCAATAGAATGTCAGTTAATGCATCACTAAGCTAGGTTGAAATTTTCATGGACCAGTTATTCAGTAAAATAAAGATGGACTGTGATCATCATTATTTGATAAAACAAGACTGGCTGAGACAGGAAATGAGGACCCTGTGAAACTTTGGACTCCGTCCCTTGCTTCCGGGATTGCTACAAGAGAGACCCACGCGACAGCCCCTGGTCAGAGCCCTGGAGGAGACTCACCTCGCGGCCTTGGGGAATGAGCCCCGGGGGATGGGTCAGGGGATGGTTGCCTGCTCCTGGGCATGGAGAGGCGGCCCTGCCCTGCGCAGGCTCCTGCAGGCCAGCGGCCCCTTGGGTCGCGGTTGGTGCAGCATTGGAAGAAAACTCCCCACCCCAGGGGGTGCCTTGGGCCTCCGCCTCGACCTTGATGGAGTTTAGTGCTGCTCATCTCCGGGGATCCCTGGGTCATTCACGCCCCGGTCCTTCCTAGCTAGTCGCACTTCCCTTCAGAGTGGGAGTCTCTGGGCTCCAGCCCCGTGTGAGCCTGGGGCGGGGCGGGGGGCTGCTTTTGTTGGCTGGACTGTCCCGTGCCCTCCTGGGGGAGGGCTGGGGGGAGGGGACAGGGTTTGATTTGTTTCCAGCTGCCCGTGGGCCTGACTCAGCTGGCATAAGAGTTGGTTTGGCTTACATTGTTGACGTTGCTATTATTAGCCTTGAATTAATTTGCCAACATTTCAAAATTGAGACACTTTGCATGAAATTCCTGATGTGAAGCTTCTCTCAAGTCATCACCTGACCTGACAACATTGGCCTCCTCATTCTGGCTCAGTAACAGTTGGCGAGAGGCAGGAGCCACCTGCCCCTTGGACAGATCTCCGTAGGCTGCACCCCCGCCCCTTCCCAAAGCAGAGGCCGGTCGTTTTGCCCCACCGAGCTGCTGTTTCTGGGACCCCTGGACCCCTCACTTGTGAGAGCTGCCTGGCATTGGAGTGGCCTCTGTGTCTGGAGTGTCTGTGGCCTCTGTTCAAAACCCTGGGGGCTTTCTGCCCTGTTCTCGCCTCGACTCTGTGACGGCTCCCACTTTCACAGACGGTGGGCTGCAATGAGAGGTTCAGGACGGACAGGGCTCGGGCCTGGTGAGGCTCTGCGGCTCCCACAGAGAACAGAGCCGCTGGCACCTTGGGAGGGGGCCAGGGCTCGAAGTGACATCAGCGGGATCAGTGAATGGCAAAGCCACTCCCGCAGAGCAGGGAGAGCCGGCTGCTCCAGGGACAGGCTCAGGCCGGAGAGTCCGAGGCAGAGCCCAGCAGTTTCCGCACTGCACCCTCAAGCCTGTCCCTGGAGTATAATTTTTGACCTCTCTTTGTCCATAGAATATATTTTATGAGATAAAATTCACAGGGTCACTTTTCACCCCTGACCTTCAGCCATGGAATCCCTTTCCCTGGAAGCAAGAGGTGTCATCAGCCTCCAGAAGTGTTCTGCATGTAAAAGTACAAGCAGTGGCATGCTGTAGACATTCTTCTAGCCGCACTCCCTCCCTCCCCCTCCTCGCCTGTCCTGACACACCTTCCTCGTCCAGCCATGGGACCTTTCTCGCTGCGTCCGTCATCGTGGGTACAGGTCCCGTGGGTGCCCGTCTGTCTCGGGCTTTGTTCAGCCCGTTGCCCTACTGATGGACTGTGGAGCCCAGTCCGGGCTTTTGCTGCCCCAGGCCGTGCGGGGGTGGGAAACTGTCCGCATGTCACGGCACACCTGTGCAGGTAGAGCTGCAGGGCAGGCTCTTCAGAACGCAGTCGCTGGGTCGAAGGCTCTGGATGTTTGCAACTTTGCTGGAAACTGTTCCTCTGCCCTCCAGAGGGCTGGTACCGAGGCGGCCAGCCACTCCTGGGTGGGTGTGAGTGCTGGTTGCCCCGCGTGTGAGATGTCGGCCGCTGGAACATCTCAAGGTCCCCGGGTGTGTCCCATCAAACTGACCCTGTACGGAGGCCTGCAGTGCTGGGTCCCAAGAGCACAGCCCCCCAGCTTCTCCCAGCCTTCCCACCAAATCATTTCTTCCCTGTTCTGTGCCCTGCAGATAAACTGCGTGACCTTCCCTCACCCAGACACGATGCCAGAGCAGCAGCTGCTGAAACCAACGGAGTGGAGCTATTGCGACTATTTCTGGGTAAGTGGTACCTCAGTTCCTGCCCCGCCCCTGCCACCACTGTGGCCCTAAGGACCATGAGGGGACACCCAGGAGGGGTGTGAAGGGCCTGGCGCTTGCAGCAGAGGAGTCTATCCTGTTGAAACCTAAAGGGCTGGTGGTAGATCTTGCATCCGAGGCAGGAACTTAGGGCCTCGTGGAGTCCAGATCATTCCGTAAGTCTCAGAGAATCGATGGGGTTTTCATCCGTGGAAATGCGGACACCTGGGCGGAAAGCAGGTGAGTCCCAGGGCCACTTTCTTCCCTGCTCAGTACAGGCAGGAGACTAGAATCAACCTCAGTAAATGAATGTGGGCTCCAGGCCTGCCCAGTCGCACTTATAGGTGACCTTAAGCAAGGGCTTTACCCTCCGGGCCTCCCTGTTTCCTGTGAAGTCATGAGGAGGCTGGGCTCAAGGATCTGTAGAGAGCTCCAGCTTTCATGATTCTGTGGTTCCAGAACTTTTGCATATTGTTTGATGGGTACAGGGTTTCCGTTTTGCAAGACAAAACAAGTTCTGGAGTGGACGGTGGTGAGGGTTGTACAATGATATGAATGGACTTAATGCCACTGAACTACACACTTAAAATGGTTTCAGTGGTCAATTTCAGTATGTGTATTGTTCCACAATTAAATATCTCTTGACAAATGCACAGTCCCACTCCTCAGAAACCAGTCACAGTCCTGAGCATTCGCATTTTAAAGTCAGCAATGACTGACTCTCAAAATGAGATCGCCCCATTCTAGAATAAGGTGATGATGGTTACACCACCTCGTGAATACATTAAAGAGCACCAACTTGTACACTTTTTTTATCCTCACCCAAGGACATGCTTATTGATTTTAAAGAGAGGGAAAGGGATGGAGAGAAAGAAAGGGAAACATCAATGTGAGAGAAAACCATTGATTGGTTGCCTCTTGCATGGCTCCCCAACTGGGGACTGACAGGCAACTTCAGCATGTGCCTTGACTGGGAACCGAACCTGTGACATTTTGGTTTACAGGACGATGCTGCAACCCACTGAGCCACACCAGCCAGAGCCCACATTGTACACACACACAAAACAAAAGAAAACACTTTTGGCAACCCCCAGCCACGCACACATACACACACAAAATAACACCTTTGGCAAAAACTTATTAAGGAACAATAAGTAAAATTTAAAAAAAAACAACTCTTTTGTCACTGAATCCTCACCCCTTTTCAGATTTGCTAACCAAGTACTAGACAAAAGTGCTTCTTTATTCGTACAAAATCACTTGTGCGTTAGCTGTTCAGTGGTCCCTCTTGCCCCCCGGAAGGGGCGACCCCTGTTGGCCCAGCCATCTTTCTGCCGGGTCTTCTGCGGTCTGCACAGAGGCAGCAAACTTCATAAAAGGGTCTCTGGCTTTGGCATCAGAAAGATTGGGCGGGGGAGCTCGGGGGCGGGGGGCGAGCAGGCGTCCAAGTGCAAGACTTCACAGGCCCTGGAAGCACATGGGGGTTTGTTCTTGTTGTAGCGGGAAGATACCGGAGGGTTGCAAGCAGAAAAGTGATGTGATCTGATTTCCATGTGCCAGGCAGGGAGACTGTGAACCGGCAGGGGTGCAAGTTAGCAGGTGGGCGCAGGACACCAGGGAGGAGCCATGGAGATGGAGAAGGAATCTCGGTTTGGAGACACCGTCCCTGAAGAGGGAAAGAAACAGCGTTCAGGGGACAGTACTGGAGCCCCAGGAGTGGGCGCCAGGGATCTGGGGGTCGGCGTGCGGGTGCCGTATGGGGATATTCAGCAGCGTCTAAGAGTGCAACATGTGTGAGTTAGTTCTCATCTTAATTCAGGGTCCCCTGGGACTCTGGTACATACTCAAGGGGTTTGTCTCCCTGGCGGTCAAGGCCTTTTCCTCTCCCAGCAAGCTTTCTGCTGACACAGGCAGTAAAGCCCACTTCTCCAGGCTGGTTTTTCCCGAGGTGAAGGAGTCACTCAGCATCTTCATCCTGTGTCAGGGCAAATTGGGGCTCAGTATTTTGGATAATTTTTCTTTTGCTTTTTTATCAAGATGTAGCATTTATACTATGAAATGCACAAATCCTAAATATACTCGAGGGACTTTTAATTGGCCAGAGTGGCCCCATGGTGACAAGGAGGGCACCACCACCAGACAGGGAGGTCACCACGACCAGAGTGCGCCCTGTCACAAGAGGCACCGTGGTGCAGTGAGAAGGCCTTGGGTCGAGGCCACAGGGGCGCGGCTCCGGCGTGGGGAGGGAACGGCGAGGTGTCCGTGAAACCTTTCATCTACTTGACAGGGGTTCTCTCCAAGCGTCACCATTCTCCTGCCCTAAAACATCTGTTCTGGGATGTTAGCAATGCAACCCACTCCTACTTGAAGGGGTGGGGCGCAAGGACGCAGCCTAGGATCGGGAAGGCCTGACCGTGTCACGCGGCGGCGGAGCTGGCCCGGGGCCCCGATTCCCACTGCTGCACCTGCGCCTCGCTGTGGTGGCGAAGGCCGTATCCTTAACTCCGTCCATGAGAGAGCAGAGCATTTTCCCCGGAGCCCTGGCGGGTAAAGGCCGTGATGCAGGGGCGCCGGCGGCGGCCCGGGAGGCTCTGAGAGGAGTATGGCTGTGAGGGCTGTGCTGAGTGTCCTGCAGGGCAGACTTGGGGGGCGGGGCTGGGAGGAGGGCAGAAAGACGTATTTAGGAAGTGCAAGCAAAACAAAGCAAAAGCATTTAATTTTGCAATTTTAGGAGTATTTGTTTACAACGTGAATTAGGTACTAATTTTCCATTTCATTGAGTTGGCCATCTTTTCTGAGTCCTGACTTTTCATTAAAACTAATAGTAGATACTATTTACTGAGTACTGAGTATGCGCTGAGCACTGTGCTAAGCCGTTTCCACACGTCATTTATCCTGACTTGACCCTATGCGGTGGGTGCCATTCTGTCTCCAGTGTCGCGGATGAAGCAGCCCAGGCTTGGAGCGAGTGAAGCACTTGCTGCTGAGGTCCTCCAGCTGGGATGTCAGCCCTGGCCGCCTGCCCTTTTCCACTCTGGCTTCCCTGCAAGCCAGCTTTTCTCCGGAAGCCACCATGGTCTTCTATGAATGTGCATTGGAAGATGCCCTCTGCCCGGCCAGGGCGGGAAGCTGACAGGAGACGGGCTGGTTTAGGCTTGGGGACACATGCACCCAAGGGCACAGGCTGCTGCCGCTGAGAGTCGGGGTTCCAGGACTCCCCGGAGGGTCCGGCCAACCTCAGCAGCCACCTGGTTGACAGTATCAGAGCACTGGGGATCAGAGCCTGTGCTCTTGGCCACTTGCCCTTCTCCTCTTTGCGGGGTGGGAGGTTGAGGGGCACGAACATGGGGTGGCACCAGCAGTAAGGGCTTAAGCATCAGAGTGCATGGGAGCAGGGCACAGGGGGACACAGGTCAGGGCATCCAAGGCTGGCGCTCCCGTCCTCCCGCTCGGGCTGCCAGGCCTGTCTGGGTCCCTTCTGGGGCCTGTCTTCCCTACGCTCCGTTCCCTCCACCCTCCCTGCCACTCTGCTCTCCCATCACCTCAACTCTCTGCGTCTGTTTCCTTTCTAGGCTGATAAGAAGGACCCCCAGGGCAACGGCACTGTGGCTGGGTTTGAACTGCTGCTCCAGAAACAACTGAAGGGCAAACAGATGCAGAAGGAGATGTCAGAATTCATTCGGGAAAGGTGAGGCCTGGGCCCTCCCAACTCAGGGTGCTGGACAGCGCCTGTGTGGGCCCCTCAGCCTGAGGGCGTGAGCAGCAGACAACGGGCATCCAGCGCTGGGCGTGGTTAGCGCCCAGGGGAGCGTGAGCCCGGAGTCACAAACTCAAGGCCCTCAGGAGAGATCTGGCCAGCAAATGCCTGGTTTTGGCCTGTGTGATGGTTTTAAAATGTGAACAAACATTTTTAAACCTGGTAGATGTGTACCTTAAGAACTGGGTATCTAGCGTGTCTGGAGAAAGCAGCAAGTCTGGCAAGAGTGGCTCTGCGTCCCTCCTGTAACCGTTGGCTGGAGCTGAGGAGCAGCTCCTCTGTAGAGGGAGCACATGTCCCCAGTTGGGCGCAGTCTCCACCGCTCCCTGCTGTCCCCACACAGACTGCTCGCCTCCTTTACTTGCCTGCGTGGCCCTCATTGAGGCCCTGTCCCTTAGCATAACAATGAAGGAGACTGTTACGTTTCTGCTCTTCTTTGAACCAAATCTGTGTCCTGGGCCTGGGCAAACAGGGCCCCCCTCCGCAGGCCCCCGCCACCCCCCCATCCCAGCCCTGCCTCCAGGAACGCAGTCTAATGGGAGACTCAGCTAAGGTGACTGTGAAAAGTGCAGGGATTATAACAGCGGTTTAGATGAACACAGGTGAGGAGACAATGAATTCAGCCTGACAGAAATATGAAAAGCTACGGAAAGAAGACGTTCCTTTTCTGCCTCCCTCTCTCCAAGTTTTCAAACCTGTTAAGCACACCTCGCACACCTGTCCCCTCGCACGTGTGCATTGCCCACCCCACCTGCGCACACACACGACTTTCCGTCCGCAGTTTCCAGAGCGCACTGGAAATGTTGGTAGTAAATGGCAATATATTTTAAAATATTTTTAAAATTATAACAACAATGATCAAGTAATAATTCTTTGGCATCTTAAAGCACCTCTTTTTTTTTTTTAGGAGCCCCATTTTCTGTTTGTATAATGAAATCTTTATGACCCATTTAACTGGTAGGGAATTGAGAGGTTGCATAGCTCAGGCGCAAGAAAACAATAGTGTAAAACAAGCAAATAGGAAAATGGTTATAAAAGCTGAAGTCTGAACCTGCTTACGGTTTATACTTTTGCAAAATTCTCATGTTTGCGATAAATAGAATGTACCAGTTGAGAACTCTGGTCTTTCCAGAGACATGCAATGTCTCTCGGTCGCTCTTGGGGCCTCATAGGGAGGGGCTGCCAGAGCTGGAGAGGCACAGAGCGGGGAGCGCGCCAGCAGGAGGGCAGGGGACAGTGGTTGGCTGTGGCCTCAGCATAAGGATGCAGGCGAAGGTGGGGGGACAGGCGAGGCAGGTGCTGGCACTAGAGTGACATTCTGGAAGCAGACAGGCCTCTTGCCTGGGGCATGCGGTTGTCCTTGGGGACTTGCAGTAAAGAGGGCAAGTTGGTTAGATGTGCCTTCCCGAGAAACCTCTTGGCCTCGGGCTGGAAGCTGCAGACTGGCCACCCCCGTCACCCCGGGGAGGGCAGGGCCCGGGGCTGTGTGAATGGAGAGGAAGTGATGACTGGGGAGGCCCTGGGGACTGGGCACTGAGCGAGGAGCAGTGCGAGAGGGGGCGGGACTGTGGGCTCTCAGTGCCAAATCATGAAGTAAGCATGACTCAAGGTGCTACCACGGACCGGTCAGGCCGCCCTTCTGAGAGGCGGGAAGCAAGCACTGCAGCCCCGGAGCGTCTCTGGGGTTTTCCCCATTTGCCGAGTGATGGATCAGGAGCAGGATACGTCTGGCAACGCATCGGCCACGGCTGCGCCAGGTAGTGCAGAGCACTCCCCGGAGAGTCGCCTTGGAAGAGCCTCAGGGCCCTGGGAGCAAAATGCGAGGCAGCTTCCCTCTCTGGGGAAGTGCAGTCAGCCAGCTCTGGGTGCTGCCCGGTTTCCATGGAAATGCTTGTGCCCTTCAGACTTGACAGTTACAGCCACTGGGGGCTGGGAGACAGTAAGGAGCGGTTCTGTGTCTGCTTCCGAGGGACTGAAGGCATCTTGGAGGATCGAAACCCAGAGCCCTGGGGCTGGAAGGGAGAGGGCAGCCCTGGACGTCCCTGTGGCCCGCCACCAGTTCCACTCACTCACTGAAGCGCCTCTGCGAGTCCAGCCCTGTGCTAGGAGCTGTGCAGTGACAGCGTTTCCCCTTCACAACCTGCAGGGGCAGCTGGGGACAGCCACTTTGCAGATGAAGAGAGGGAGGTTCAGACTGTTTCATTTATTCATTCATTCAACAGATACTTACTAAGCACCTACTCTGTGTCAGACAGACCAGAGCCACCACTCTCCGAGCTTGTGGTCTGATGGGTTCCTCACCCAGTTAAGAAGCAGCAGGGCTGCAGGTTGGACTCACAGGCCAGGAGAGCTGACGTGTGGGGTCTCCTCATTTTGCAGGATAAAGATCGAAGAAGAATATGCGAAGAACTTAGCTAAGCTCTCCCAGAGCTCCTTGGCCGCACAGGAGGAAGGGTGAGTGGGGAGGACGGCGATGGGAATGGGGACGGGGAGGAGACAAAGGAGCAGGGATCCCTTTCCCCCCATCACTGACCACTGCTGGGGGCCCGTGGGCTGGGGAAGCCTCCGCAGGCCTGGCTCCAGCGGTGGGCACTCACGCTCAAGGCTAGCACTGCCACGCTGTTTCTCTCGTGGCCGAGGGCCACATGCTGGAGTATGTCAGGACCCGTCTGCCCTGTCCCCTGGCAGCTGGGCACCAGCCCCAAGATGCCCACGCCTGTGTCCCTTTCCCTGATGGCAGACTGGCGGGAAACTGGGTGTGAGAGGGTTCCACACCCTGCCCCGTGTTGAGAGTTCTCTCCTGTGGGCCCAAGGCCCAGAGCCCCGCCCCCTTCAGCTGCAACAGCCCGGACCTCCTCGAGTGGGACCTGGGCTCGGGCGGGACCTGGGCTGGCGGAGAAGGGTGCCTTGTGGAAGGAAGACGGCAGCCTTCTCTGCTGCGTCTTGTTGGTAACGAGCTTTGGCCTGCTGGTGGGAACGTAAAATGGTGCAGCCACCGTAGAAGACAGCCTAGCAGTGCCACAAATAAACCAAACCTAGAATTCCTCTATGACCCAGCAGTTCCACTCGTAGGTTTACACCCACAAGAACTGAAAACAGGTACTCAAATACATGCACATGAATGGTCATAGCAGCCTGATTCTCCATAGCCAACAGGTAGAAACAACCCCAATGTCTATCAAAGAACAAATGGATAAAGAGACTACGCTGGGTCCACATTGGATATAGGATGGAATATTATTCAGTCCTAAAAAGGAATGACGTACTGCTCCGTACTACTGCGTGGATGAAGTGAAAGGAGCAAGACACTAAGGCTGCGTGTTATCTAATTCCATTTATGTGAAATGTCCAGAATAGAGGCATTCGTAGAGACAGAACGAAGACTGGTGGTTGCCTGGGCTTGGGGGTCAGGGGGAGAGGGAGCAACTGCTTAATGGGCACGAGGTTCCTTCTTGGGGGGGGTGTGACTCACCTGCTCCGGCTGCTGCAGGGAATGCGATAGACCAGGTGGCTTAAGAAACAGAACTTTAATTTTTCACAGTCCTGGAGGCTGGGAGTCCAACACGAAGGTGCCAGCCAGGCTGGTGTCTGGGGAAGCGCTCCTCTGCTTTGCAGGTGGCCGCCCTCCTGCCACGGCCTTTCCCAATAAGGGGAGAGAGCGAGTCCTTCAGTGTCTCCTCTTACAAGGACTCAAATGCTACAGATCAGGGCTCCACCCTAACGACCCCACGGAACCTCAGTTTCTGTTGCCAGGAGCCCATCTTCAACTAACAGCCGCACAGGGGGTTAGGGCTTCAACACAGGAATTGAGGGGGACACAAACATTCGGTCCTTAACAGGGTGAGATAGACGGTTTGGAACCAGACAGAGCTGGCCGTTGCACAACATGCTGAGCATACTAAACACTGGGTTGTTCTCATAAAAGTGCTGGATTTCACATCATGGGCATTTTACCTCAATAATAAAAACAAAGACTCAGGAAGTTGGAGCTGAAAGGTCCCAGAGGTCCCCGTCCAGTCTGGCCTCCCTCGAGCGCAGTGTCTGCATCTCTCCCGGGAGGAAGGGGGGCCTTCTGTCGTGGGACGGCTGTGGTTATCCGAGAGCTGTAATGCTGAACAAGTCCAGATCTGCCCCCACGGCTTGAAATCCCTCGGGGGACAGGACTTCGCCAACCAAATGTGGCTCTGATTAAGGCCTCTGCCTGGGCTCGCTGTGCAGCCAGCAGGCTGCCTCCGAGTGGTTTTCACCAACCTGCTGGCCACAGGCTGCAGGGCAGCCCTGCAGGGCCGGTGTCTCCTCCACAGACACAAACGAGGTTACCTCCAGCCCCTTTGCTCCGTGCACCGGGCCTGAGATGAGGGCAGGAAGGAGGAGCATATGGGAATGGCCCAGCCGGCCTGGACAGGGGGCTCTTCCAGGCATGTCCGTGCCTTGTGACCACAGTGCTGCCCCGGAGTCTTCCCGCTTCCACCTCCTCGGCCTGGGCTGCTGCCAAGGACACTGCGTCCTGCCAACAGGCACAGCATATGCTCCCAGTTGACAGGTCGGGCCTGCACCGCCATGCTGTACACACATGCACCTACAAACATGGGGAACAACACACGCTCCATACGTGCATCAGCACCGCTCGCCTCCAACATGGGCAGGAACACGTGCCCATCACCATCACGCGCACACGCTAACCCCATGAACTCCTGCGCCCCTACTCACAGGGTGCAGCGACCCTGTTTTGCATTTACACACAGCTTTGGACATTAGCCCAGTCCGCTTTGAAACTTTCGAAGTGCAGTGCTGGAGCCTAGAAGCTTGGGGCAGCCTAGGAAGGTGCCGATGGGGAGACCTGAGCTGCTTTTGCACTCGAGCGCTGCGTCCAAATTAGATTCCACAGGATGTGTGCGCGTTAGTAAATAAACCGACTCGGGTTATTCATTCTGCATTCAGTTTTCCTCTCCTGTGTGGGAAGGAAATGGGATTTGGGTCTTCTCTGGTTGACAATTGTGACAGTTTCATGCATTTTGATTTGGCATGCCTCGGACTCTATATTGAAACAAGTATATCTCAGATTTTATTTTATTAACCTCTTATCAGCTGAAAGGTTTCCCTTCAAATGAGAAAATTTCTAAATTGCTCTATTCTAAATTGTGAAGTGGCCCCAAGGGGCCTGGAATATTGGGGTTGGCTCAAACAGCCCCATTTTTTAAAAGATTTTATTGATTTTATTTTTAGAGACAAGGAAAGGGAGGGAGAAAGAGGAAGAAACATTCATGTGAGAGAGAAACATCGATGGGTTGCCTCTCGCATGCGCCCCCACTGGGAACCAGGCCGCCACGAGGCGTGTGCCCTGACATGGGAATCGAACCAGTGACCTTTTTCTTTGAGGGGCAAAGCTCATCCAGCTGAGCCATGCTGCCCAGGGCTTAGACAGACCAATTGAATGTATAGAGTGACATCCCCCCACCTGTGAATATCTGGCCTGGAGGTGGGGACCAAGGCCACTTTTCTGATCCTGAAACTGTGCTTCCTCCTGTCCCCCCAATCCCCCAGGGGACATTCCCAGGCCACCACCGAGGTCATTACACCAGTTACTGACCACGTGCCCTGGGGATGGTGGACATGCAAATTCTCAGCACGGCCCCGGGCCTTCCTGGCTTGTGGGCCCTTCCTTCGCCTTCCGCAGGCTCGCCTGTGGCTCAGCTGCGCCTGTGGCTCAGCTGCAGGGCCGACCCCTCTCCATCCCCCTTGAACCAAGTCCCCTCTTCTCCCGGGACTGCTTCTGTCAGCTGTGTACTGTGTTGACTTTCACTTTTGGTCTGTGAAATGATCCATATGGATGGCATGAGGTCAGGGCCAAGATACTTTTACCCCCCATGGATATACAGTCGTGCCTGTACCATTTGTTAGAAGACTGTCCACCATGGCGATAATTTGGCATTCTTGTTGCACATCCATCACCCGCATCTGTGAGTGTTTCTGGATCTGGCACTGTATTCCCACTCCATATGACGACCTCATCTGCTTCCACCACCACCCCCGCCCCCGCCTTGCCTGTGACCTGCTGCCCGCCACCCAGAGCTGCCCCAGCCCGGGGCGCCAGGCCACCCAGAGCTGTCCGAGAGAAGTATCAACAGCTTGGGCGGCCCCATTTCTCATTCTGTCTCTTCTCTGGTGGGCTCCTTGGCTGGGATCACCCAAGGGGACCCTTCTTTGCTGCCAGGCTCCTAGATAAAATGAGTCAGTCACTTCCCATAAACACCCACTTCAGCCTGAGCCAGCACCACAACCAGACAGGCCTGGGCTGTGATCAAAGGGATCCGTCCTGTTCTGTTGGGTAATTCTCAGAACCACTGGCTTCTCTGCTCAAAACCCAGCAGCCTCGCAGCAGGCTCTCTTTTAATCAGCTTTTCCACTCAAGCTTAATGAATTCTCTGGGGATAGTGGCTTTTCCACAAAATGAAGTCAACTGCACATTCAGCCTGGCTCACTGGCTGGGTGTAGAGGCCTCCAGCGAGGTCCCAGGGGATCATTTGGAAGGCTGGCAAGGTTGAAGAGTTGCAAATAACGAGAATGTAGCCTGGGGGCCTGCAGCCCAGTCTCTGGAAGTCAGGAGATAGCTCCTACTTGAAGCACCTTGGAGTGGAGTGGTTTAGCACAGAGGATCTGCTGTTCGGTAAAGCTGTCTGTGCACCAGGGCTCACAGTCCCGAACTGGTGCCTGTGAGGGCCACCCTCCTGCTGACAATGGTGGAGAGCCTGCCCTGCCACATGGGCGTCCCCAGGAGGTCCCTAACCCAGATGGTCCTCCTTTGCCCTGACTGGAAGCCAGGCTGTTGGAGGCTTGCCCGCAAGCAGGGCTGCGCGGCACCTTCCATGTGAGTAGGGCTGTTCCTGAGAAGGCATCTGTTCTTCCTCCAGGATTTACCAGCAGGTGTTTTGCCCCATCAGCAAACCCGGGAGGGGCTGACGGGAAGGCAGGGGCGGGGGGGCAGCCAGTCCACTCTGGAAGCCCTCCCTGCCGCTGCCCACCACCGCCCCTGCATCTCCCCCAGTTCTCTGGGTTTCCGGGTGATTCCCCCGAGTCTGTCGCAGTCCGTTCCGTCAGCTCCCCAGCCCGGTTTGGGATGGCCTGGGTGGAAACGCAATGCTCAGGTTTGCCTTGTGCCGGGCCCCTGGCCCCTCCCAGCCCGCGGCCCTGGGGCTGCCCCAGGACTGGGGCCTCGGACATTAGTCAGTGTCTGTGAGTCTGACAGTCTCCGTCGTGTTGCAGCTCCCTGGGAGAAGCGTGGGCGCAGGTGAAGAAGAGCCTCGCGGACGAGGCGGAAGTTCATCTCAAGTTCTCCGCCAAGGTAACTGCTTCCCGCGGCCTCTCTGGGTTGGCCTTATGTGGAGGTGCGCTCTGAAGCTTTCCCGGCTGCCTCTCCCCTGTGTAGAATTGACCAGATTCTGTGATGTGAATTTCGAGAGGTGGGAAGAGACACACAGTGACACCCCATTGAACAGTGTGTCCACCACACGGTGCCACCATGTCAGGAGTGCGAGGCCTCCATCAAGGGCACGGATGCTAGTAAAATGTCGTGAGGAAGTGGTACACGCTGAGTACTTAGGACCTTTGTGTTTAATATAATTTATTAATTTTAAATTTAGGTCATTTAAAATCTTTTGAATCCTCACTCGAGGATACGTTTATTGATTTTAGAGAGAGAAAAAGGGAAACAGAGAGAGAGAAATGTTGATGTGAGAGAAACATCAATCGATTGCCTCCCAAACACACTCTGACTGGGGATCCAACCCACAACCCAAGTATGTGCCCTGACCAGGAATCGAACCCACAACCTTTCTGGTGTATGGGGACAACGCTCCAACTGAGCCACCCGGCCAGGGCGGGATCATTTAATTGTCGATACTGGCTGTCTTTTGCAACCAGCTCATAAAATCCCCACAGATTTAGCTCTTGGAACCAGTGCGCACTCCCCCACCCCCCAGCTCCCCTCTGTGAGGAGAGGGCAGACGCCCCTCTGCTCCTCGGGGAACCTGTGCGTGGCGAAACCCTGTTGGCTTTCAAAAGAATGGCATTTTCTGCTGCTTTTTGGTGTCAGGAGAGACTGCACTATGCCAAAGAGAGATTTTTTTGCGGGGGGGGTGGGTTTGTTTTGTTGGCTTTTGTCACAAAGTTGCAGACTGGGTCACTGAGCCTTCGCTCATTGGTTCTGAAGATGCCAGCGCTGTGACCTTGAGGACAGTGACGGTTCTGTTCTGTTCGTTCTGCGCTCAGGACTGAGTCGTACCTGGTGCGCGGCAGATGCACAGTCAATGTCTTCTGAAGTAATGAGTGAATGGGGCCCCCGACGGTCTCCTCTCGACCCCCTCCTCTTCTCAGGCCTCCTTTCTCATTCCCCACTGGAAATTCCCATTGGAAACCTGCAGGTTTCCGAATGATCCTCTCTTCCCCACTCCCTGGCTCGTTCCTCCAAATTCCCTCTCAGGCTCTTACCACTGTTCCGGGGGGAAATCAAACCAAGTGGCTGAGTGAAACATCCGCACTCCAGTGTGCAGGCTGGTGGGGCACCCGCGGGCACGCGTGCCTCTTAAAGCGAAAGAGTCTGGGAGAGCACGGTTCCCAGCGGCCTTGGCCTCCTGGGGTCCGCACTCTTCCTTCCGCCCTCCCGCCATCACCAGGCAGGCACGGCGGCCTGAGAGGCCGCTCAGACCAAGCGCTTGGCCTCTCTGAGCCCCCATTTTTAAATTAGGGGACACACCACCAATTTTGCTCCTGGAAGGCACCATCCCCCCGTGGTGGCTGCTTCTTCCCGGGGCTTCCACACTCAGTGCTCACGGCTCCTGTCTCTTTTCTGGTGCTTTCCCCGGAGCGGTTGCAGTTCTGGGCTTTGGGGTCCCCATGGGATGCGCGCTGTTGGAGTTGAGGAGCCTGGCTTTGGGCCAGGCCTCCCCCCCGCGACCCTTCTCATGATGGTTCCCTGCGCACAGAGGATGGAAGGAATGACTCAAGGAGCTGAGACACATGGAGGAGCTTTGTAAAGAGCCAGGGTGGAAAGAGAAACCGCGCTGTACTAGCTCCTCCCTGCTCAAGGGTATCGGTGCCCCAGGAGTGAGCTGACACCCAGCAGTGAGGGAGGATTCCTGGCTGACCCTGGCACACAGGCCCCCGGCACCAAGCACTTCAAGAGGAAATTGCCGCTCAGCTCGGCTCCGGGAGAGGAGGGAGCTCCGTGGGGTAGGCCCTGGCCTGCCTTGCATACAGAGCAGCGAGCTATTTTTAAACTGCAGATCAGGGTAGTAGGTCTCCCTTCTGTCATAGCCCCCAGCAGCTCTGCGCTCTCGGGACAGAGCCCTCCTTTGACAGCGCATGAATGGGAGATGAATGGGAAGGCGGCCGCGGGGTGAGCGGGTGAGCGGGGGCTGGGAGCTGCCTCCGCTTCTGAAAGGGCGCCTGCTGGGTCCCCCGGAATCCTGGTGGCACTTCCTTCCCGTCCGCCGCGGGACCCCTGGGTCTGGATTGTTTATAGAGTGCCCAGGTGACTAAGCATTCTCCGATGCTCTGTTTTCCCCTACTGTTTCCTTTCACTACGGCTACTCTCACCAACACTTCTGGGCACCAAGCGGTTTTCCCACGGCAGCCAGTTCAGACAGCAGCGGGGTGTCCTACGGTGTAACTCAGCTCTGACCCTGGCTGCCCGAGGTAGCGTCAGACCCCGCAGGGTAAGGGCTCAGCCCCACAAGGCTGCCAGTTGCAAGTAGTGGGTCCCCAGGCCACCCACACTTCTGTTGACTTGGCTGCAAATCAGGGGTTCTCACAACCCCTCCTCCAGGTTGACACTGCTAGAACGGCTCACAGAACTCAGGGAAACACTTAGGTTTACCAGTTTATTACATATTAAAAGATATGAGAGGTGATAGAGGTGAGCAGCCAGGTAAAGAGGTATGGAGGGCAAGGTCTGGAAGGGTCCTGAGGCCAAGAGCTCCTGTCCCTGAGGAGCTGGGGTTTGTCATCCTCTTGGCACGTGGATGTGTTCACCAACCCGGAAGCTCTCTGGACGCTGTAGTTTAGGGAATTTTAGGGCGGCATCATGACGCAGGCATGATCGATTATTAAATTGCTCTCCATCTTCTGTCCCCTGCCCAGAGGCTGGGGAGTGGGGCTTAAAGTACTGAGCTTCTAATTAAGCTTTGTCTTCCTGGTGACCAGCCCCACCCTGGAGGGATTCAGGAGCCCAAGAGTCACCTCCTTGAAACAAAAGAGGCTCCTGCCACCCAGGAGATTCCAAGGGATTCAGGAACCAGGCTCAAGGACCAAATAGTAAAACAAAAAATGCTCCTGGCACTTTTGTCACTTAGAAAGTCACAGAGGTCTTGGGAGCTCCAGCCAGAAGGTGAGGACAAGGACCAAAATAGAAATATTTGTTACTGTATCACAGGATGACAGTCATGTAAGTGTTCCCAATGGTTGCGTGCAGGATGTAGCTCATGTCTCTCAATTTTATCAACCACCCTGCAAGAGAGCGTCTCCGTTTCACAAAGGAGAAGGGGTAGAGAAGTCTGCATCCCAGCTGAGAGGGCTCAGCTACCGGAAAAGCAGTGGAGAGGCGTGAGGGAGGCGGACCCTTGACCCGCAGACCTTTTGTCCAGTGGCATTTAAAGCTCAAAGCCCTGTTCTGAGGAGCACTCCGCCCTCTCGGAGGGGCTGTCCAGGGTGGTGCCGGAAGTCGCTGATAGAAAGCTTAGGAAGACTGTTGACAGAAAGCAGGTTTTTCTCAGAGAACAGCTGCTGCTTCCAGCCTGTGCCATTGCCAGTGGCCTTAGGCAGTAGCCGTGGCAGCCCAGTGGTTGTAGGCTCTTCTTTGAAAAGAAAGGAGCTCCCATGACTTCTTGTTCGCCATGGATAAAATGGCTCCCTATGCCCCAAACCCGTTTTAACCTCTGCCCCAAAAGGCTCCTTGAAATTCCACTGTTCTGTGTCAGGAGTAAAAGCTCTTTAAGAAGTGCAGTTTTGCTAAGGCGATCACTGAGGCTTCCCTAGTCTACTAGCTCAAGCCATTGTTAATAGCAACAGGCTGCTGAAAAGAAATGATTGCTATATACAAAAGAAGTTATACCTGGCTCTGCTGAAGAAGGGAGCACAGAAAAACTCCTTGTGCTGGGAGAAATCTAATCATGCGATTAGGGGCCACGCGTTCAGTCAGAAGATCGTGGGGGCGGCATGGCAGTCGGGAGGCATGAGTTTAAGTCAGTGCCATCGCCAACAAGCTTTCTGACCTTGGGCAGGTCACTCCGCCTCCCTGGGCTGCCATTTTTTTTCATTTAAAACCTATTCGATGGTAACCCACAGTGATGCATTTTGCACGGCTCCCTGCACCGCACAGGTGTCCACAGCCCACCTCCAGGCAGGTGGGCACACATGTGCACAGCCAACATGCACATTTTATGAAGCAGCACTTGTCTTTCTGCCTAAAGTGCATTTTATGTTAATATTTCCCTTGTGTCTGGTCTATTCCCACCCAAAAGCTGGCCCTGACCCACTACACTGATTTCACCGCTCTTAGCTGCCCACCGTTTGAAAAGCCACTGGACCAGGTAGTCTCCGACATTGTTTGCATCTTGAGATGTCTCTTGCTGTCTTCAGTGTGGGATGAAGGGGGAGGAGGCCGAGGGATGAGGAGTCCAAACAGGCGGCCGAGTAGGTCCACCAGCCTGTCCCACCCGAGCAGGCTGGCTCGAGAGTTCACAAGGGCCAGCTCCTGAGGACTTGGGACTCCCAGCTAAACAAAGATGCTTGGCTCAGATTAAAATGAGTGTAAAAAGATACCCAGCCTACTTCTCTTTTTTTAAGAAAAATTCTGTCTTTTAAAAGTACTTAAAATACAGGGGCAGAATCCGTGGGACTGAGTCACCTCTGACAGCTGGCAGCGTTAGGTTTGCAGGAGGTCATTCGGAATTTGAGGGAAGCACTTCGCTGTGTGGACGGAGCCTGGGGCTGGGGCCCAGGAATTCGAGTGCCAAAAAGCGCCTCCAGGCCACTCCTGGGCACAGCGAAGTCTCAAAATCAACTCTCTTTCCAGGTCCTCAGAAAGAAACCCCAGAGCACTGAGTCAGTAGGCCGAGTTCACCCTCACAGACCCCTGGTCGGGACCAGGTTCCCGGGGCCAAACACCTAGTCCACGTGGCAGAGGGGTTCCCGTGTCCTCCCTCGCTTTCAGGCTTGTAGCATCTTGCAAACAGCCACCAGGTGGGGCTGTTTTCCTGTACAGGGAAACGCATGCGGGTTCAAAAAATAATAGCGGACGATTACAAATGGCATCAGGAGGAGAGGGGCGCCGATGGCCCGCTCCCTGTTAGCCTTGGAAGATCATCCAACAACAGCCGTCGCCTTGTCACCCAGGGCAGCGGGCACGGAAGGTCTTGTCATCGCCCCGCGTAGGGCGAGGCCCTCACTCCGCGCCGGCTCCAGCCAAGTGCGGACAGTAGTGGCCAGGCACCCAGGCTCCTGCCCACTCGGCGCTCAGTCATGTGCAGTCGGTTGTGTAGAACTGGGAACACAGACGTCCTCAAGGTCACCAGAGAAAAAGATCGTATAACCAGAGCCTGGTGAGGAGGAAGGGAGAAGTCACAGAATCCCAGCGAGATGGGGGGGGAGGGTCGTCCAGCCGCGGAAGGTCAGCTGTGCTCTCCATGGCACTTCTGGGGCAGGCGGAGGCGAGGGGCCCTGGGAGGCCAAGTCAGGAGGGCCCAGGAGCTGCCTTGGGTCGGGGCTCTAGGAGCCGAATCAGGAGTCCGGGGGTGCTCTGAGGCTCTTTCAAGAAGGAGTGGGGAAGAGAGAAGGAATAAGCCAGGCAGTGAAAGACAAATACCATAAGTGGAAGCCAGTAAACAAACAAGTGAGCAAAACAGACCAGAGACATGGAAACAAGGAAGAAACTGACAGCGACCAGAGGGGAGGGGGGAGGGGGGGAACGGGGGAAAGAAAGGGAAGGGTCCAGTCAAGGAGCACATATGAAGGACCCATGGATACAGACAACAGGGTGGGGACTGACAGTGGGAGTGGCGGGGGCGGGGCGGGGGGCGGACAACTGTAATTGAACAATGAAAAAAGAAAAAGAGGAAAAGGAAAGGAAAATGCTTGAGAAACACCACCCACTCCTCTCTGAGCATAAACCTCTTTCTCCGGCCTTCGGAGTGCGAGTGGGCTGGGGCATGAGCGGGTCTCCCTCCAGGCAGACCGGTGGGGCCAGAAACCCTCCCTGGGCACAGTGCGGGGAATGGGCCTGCGAGTTCCGCTGGCCCCGGGTGGCTCCCACCGTCGCCTCCTCCAGCTTTGACTGAGTGCAGATCACCTGTGTATTTTCCACACCCAGCACATAGCAGATGTTCAATCAGCAGCACTGACCTGCGGTCACCTAAATTAGATGACATCCATGCAGGTGACAGGTGCCTGGGACACAGAGATGGTGGCTGGCTTTCTGCCCCCAGCAAGCTTCCGGTTTGGAAAGTAAGAGCCCTGTGGGAACTTAGAGGAGGAAGAAGATAGCCAGTAAGGGACTAGAAAGTTCCAGACTCTAACCTGTCCATCCACCAGTGTGAACACGGGGGCCTGGCCAGCTGACACAACTTCCCAAACCCCGACATGATAAGTGGCCACCGGATTGTAACCTTCCTGTTGGAGGGGCCAGGCCACTGCCCCAGGCCCCACCCCCACCCGCGAGGGTGGGAGAGGGCCCTCCCTTTTCACATGCTTTCAGCTGACACCCTGGGTCCTGAGCATGTCCCCTTTGCTCTCCTCAACAGCTTCACAGCGAGGTAGAGAAGCCCCTAATGAACTTCCGTGAGAACTTCAAGAAAGACATGAAAAAGTGTGACCACCACATCGCTGACCTCCGCAAGCAGCTTGCCAGCCGCTACGTTGCCGTGGAGAAGGTGAGGGGCCCCGGACACTGGGCACAGGAGGTGGGGCCTCCTGGAAGACCGTGGGCTGAGTGGGATCGGTTGGGTGGGGGGCTGGACTCCAGCCCACGCCTGGGGTGCCTACCTCCCCGCCCCTCACGCAGCCAGAGATCAGGGGCTGCCTCCCTGGGGCTCTCAGACCCCTGGCCAGAGGGCCAGCAGCAGCAGGAGAGGCTCACCTGAGGTGGGAGATGTAAGGGCCTCCAGCAGGCACCTGAGACTCGAGACACGGAACCTGTATGTGTCTCTGGTCCACATGTACCCCTTTGTCTGGGCCTCACCTGGCAAGTTCTCTCCTGACTGAATCTCCTGACCGCCCCCCGCCCGAAGTCTGTGAGGTCTGAGCTAGGTGGACGCTGCCGATGGCCAGCACTGGGGGGAAGAGGGCTCTCCCCGGGGGGCTGACCGCGGTGACCTGTGGTGCGGAGGAGGAGGAGCACATGGCTGCAGGCACCCGAGGCTCTGCCAGCTGCCGCCGCCAAAGGAGCTGTCCTGCCCGAGTCAGACACTTGGGCTCCCTCCCCCGATCCAGGCTGTGATTTTAGGACTGCCATATGTGCACGTGCTCCAACGGAACCCTGGTCTGCGAGGCTTGCTGCGGGCCACTCAGGATTTGGTTGAGAGAGACGGGGTGAGAAGAGGTGTGGCAGCCTCTGAGCAGTAACTGACTAGCGAGCGATGCTGGTCCAGCAGCTCACCTCCCAGAGCCACGGTGGCATCACTCACGGAAGCAGGGGAAAGAAAGGACTCTTCCCGGGGAAAGGCGCAGGCATGGGGCCCTTCTGGCTCCAAACCCTGCAAACAGCCCTCCCATGTCCATGGCCCCCAGGCCCGGAAAGCCCTCACGGAGCGACAGAGAGACCTGGAGATGAAAACCCAGCAGCTGGAGATCAAGCTGAGCAACAAGACGGAGGAGGACATCAAGAAGGCCCGGAGGAAGTCCACGCAGGCTGGTGAGTGCGGGGCCATGGCCCCCCTGTCCTCACCTGTCAGGGAAGCCCGGCATGGCCAAGCCTGGGGGATGGGATGCCTGGGAGGTGGCGGGAGGCTGCGGGGGGCCATGTGCGGGGGTCGGGGGCAGTCTGCGAGGCTGTCCCCAGGCGCTGGCTCTCTGACCAGGAAGTGGTTACTCCCCCATGCCCCCGGAATTCAGGGGTGCTGACAGTGTGGCGCCCCTGGGAGCGCACACCTCACCCCTCCAGGGACTGGAGCCCACCCACGGTGATGTGCTCCTGCCCAGTCAGTGGCCGACACATGAAATAACCAGAAAAGATGCCTGCAGTGAGTTGGTATCTGCTCCCACCTAGTGGTAAAAATTAGCTAATGCCCAAGGCAGGGTGCGAAAAGCCAGTAAAAACTTACCAAATATTTCTTTAAAAAAAAAAAAGAAAGAAAGTTTCCCTGCATGGAAGGACAATGCTTATTGCTTTCTGGGATTGAAATGTGGCTGTAGGATCAGTCAATAACAAAATAATGTAGACATAACATTTGACATAAAGGTCTTACAATGCGCAATGATCAATTACTGGATCCAGAAATAGGAGGCATAATATACTTACTGGGAGTGGGAAGGGAAACCTAGGATGAGGAGAGGCATCTTTAAAATCGTTTAATTAAGTTATTAGAGAAAATTATATTACAAAATCAATATCTTTGCTTGGGGAAAAAAACTTTAATCAGCGCATAAGAATATGAAATCTTAATTTGCCAATTACAATCACCATCAATATCCCTAGTGTTTTAATTTCTTTAATGTTTTTAATATTATATTTAAATTTATACACATTAGGTCATATTATACTCTGTGTTCTAAAGCTATATTTTAATTGCTTTATCTTAGAGATAGCTCCATTCCACTGCCTAACCATTTAATTACCCACTCAGTCACGCACATCAGACTTTTTCAATAGTTGAATGGTATCCAGGGGTATGATTGTGTCAACTGTGTTTCCTCACTTCCCTAGTTGATTTTTTTACTTTTCTATTGTTTTGGAGTATTTGGCAATGTGAGCAAGGTTGTGTTGTTATCAATGTGTCTGCGTCTAAATCTGTGTATGGAGAGACTGGAGATGTGAATTTTCTGGGTCAAAGGGGTGTATTCATCTTGACGGACATTTCCAAATTGCTCTCCAGGGAGGGGCGCCCACCCATCTCAAGGATGGACGCCTTTTCCCTAAACTCTAGTCAGCGCTGTGTGTTACCAGCCTGCGACATCATGCTCTCTGGTGAAAAATAATAACTTGTTAATTTAAATGGCGTTTCTGTTTGAGTAAAGTGGAGCATTTCGCATTTAAAAAATAGACTTGCAAGTCATCTGTGACTTTTTTCTGTGAGTTGGTTTGACAGCCAAGATATTCTGGTTCCAGAATCCATGTCCTTACTAACTTGTACTGTTCAGAAGGGTTTCGTTTCAAACCCCTGGGCTACATAGAGATGAGACACACCCTCCTCTGCCTACCTTCTCTCCTGATGTTGCAGAACTTACCAAAGCATGTTCTCAAAATCAGGATGGACAAACGGGGCTTTACGAGTTTCATATTGTACCCTCATAGGGCGGCATACTAACTGTGTCCAGGATTAGGCCCTGGGTCTTGATAGATATGCATTTGCAGTGAAGTATCAATGTTTTTCCCTCCGGTTCCAGTCCTTCTTGGGATCAAAGGCCCAGCCTTTGACCCCGGCCCAAAAGCAAGATGAGAAAAACCCTTGATTTGGGTTCAGTCACTCGAGGGTCACCTCCCCGCTAGTGTTGTGGTTCAGGCAGAAGGGAGCTACTGACTAGGCCCTGGGTCCATAAGGGTTTTTTTTTGTTTCACTTTCCTTCTAGAATGGGCAAGATGATGTTATAGGAATAACTTTGAATCTACTCCAATTACAAGGTTTAAAGAATAAACGAGTCAGCCTTGGTTGGCCCATGAGCGGTTCCCGCCAGGAGCGCAGACCATGACGCCCTCCTGTCTGGGGCCCTGCGGTGATCTGAACTCCATTAGACCAAGCTGTGCCCTTGAGGGCGCTTCTCGAACGGGGGTGTGCGCGCCGACCCCGGCGGAGCTCGTGGGAATGCGGTTTCTGGCTCGCCCTAGGTATCGGGTACGCCCGGGGACTTGCATTTCCAGCAAGCTCCCAGGGTGCACTGATGCTGCCGGTGCAGGAACGGCATCTCGAGTAGCAAGGTTCTGGGGCGCTGGGACCTTAGAAATGTTCGCAGTTACTTCTAGTTTGCTTTCTTTCTAATTACAAAACGTTTCAAACGTACATACGATTGCAGGAAACAATACACTAGCCACTGAGATTGAATAGTTGTGTTTCAGATCTCTTATGAAAGAAAATGCTGTAGAAAGAGCTCCTTTCCTCCCACCCAGCCTTCCTGTTTCCCAGTGTAAGCACCGTCCTGGAGTTAATTGGCATATGGCGCTCCGGTGTGTGTTTTCCTACCGTTACTGCGCGTGGGCGAGCCGTAAACCATTGGACATGTTATTGTGTGTTTCAGAATGACATCCTGTTGCATGTACACACACACACACACACAAATGGACATAATTTGCAAAGCTTTCTTCTTTAACTAGTACCATGTTGCTTGTGACATGTTTTAACCAAAAAGGACTCTCCAGTGTGAGATGAAACTACCATCGTTAAAGAGGAAGCATTCGTGGGCCCATGGTAGGGATCGGGCCCTAGGAGTAACTCCCTTCCTACCCCGCCACCACCCCTCACAGTAAGAACGCTCCATCCTGAGTTCTTGGTGTCTGGGATCAAGTTCAGCTGGACACTCTGAAGCTGGTCTCCTGTGGTGCCAGGCTGCCCCTTCTTTGTACTGCCCTCATTCCCACCCCCCACTTTCCGTTGGCCTCCGTGACCCCAAGGAGAGGAAGAGGCATGGCTGTGAGCTGCAGGGGGAGAGGGCAGCCATGGCAGGACAAGCCCCAGTGTGACAGTGGCATTGGCCTTTTCCAGGAGACGACCTCATGCGCTGTGTGGACCTCTACAACCAGGCCCAGTCCAAGTGGTTTGAAGAAATGGTGACCACCACGCTGGTAAGTGCGAGACAGAGCGGTGCCTGGAGCCCAGGACAGCCCGGGGGGAGGCTGGCGGGCATGTCAGTGGTGGAGTGGAGGTGACCGTGGAGACGGTCATCATATCAGCTCATGTTGGGGTTGAGACCTCGACTCTGGGCCAGTCTACGCTGGCTCCGACCCTTGCTCCGCTACTTCTTAGCTATGTAAACATGGGTGAGGATGGGGCCTTGCTATATCCTCCTTGGCTGCCCTCCGAAGGGTCACATTCAGCTGAGGATGCTCCTAACCGAGGTGACAGTGGCCCCTTTAGGACAAATTGCCCAGCTGTAGGAAGCGTGGCCCTCTCACCCTCCAGAAGAGGGGCAGGTCCTGCAGAGGAGATCCTTGTAAGGCACATAAGCAGTGAGGTTAGGACGCTGTGTGGGAGTAACGGGGAGAGGCCCATAATCGAGGGGCCTGAGGGAGAGGCATTGGACCCCCTTTTTTACCTCCCTGAATTTTTCTTGTGAAGGGGCAGCCTCTCCTCCTCGGTGGGCACTTGTGGTGGTGAAGTGTGGTTGGGCCAGATGAGAAAGGAGCATCGTGCCAGCTGTTTATAACATCACCCCGTTGCTCGAAGCCACCCCCGTCCACCCAGCCCAGGACAGCAGCCTGGTTTTCCTCCTGGTTAATCTCCTAATTAAGCCCCTGCTTTACCCCTTACCCTGGTTAATCACTGGGCGGTGACCTAGTTGTGCACAAAATAACAGCCTGATCCCCTAAATTCCAAGGATGTGGAACCACCTAGAAACCAGAGGGCAAACCTTTCCCAGCCCTCCCTTAGACAGCGGCCACCCCACTCCCGGCCCCTGCCTCCCCTGGCCTGGGCTCTGGTCGGTCCCTCAGCAGCAGGGGTGGACCGAGGACAGAGGCTGCTCGGCAGAGGCCCAGGGAGGCACAGACACTCCCGCCACATGTGTCCCATGTGCCCACCCTGCTGGGAACCGCAGCTGGGGCTGCGCTGGTGCAGAGTTATGATCACGACAGCAGACCCTGGTTCCAGCCTCACTCCCGCCATCACCCCATGCCACTTTGGGCAGGTGATGTTACCTGTCTGGGTGTTCATTCTCTTGTATGGGCAACGGGGAAAAGAACAGAACCCCTCTCTTAAAATCATTACGAGCCCCACGAAGTGACACGGGTGAAGCTCTTCGCGCCCAGCGTGCCGGGCAGGGCAGGTGTCAGGAAACGGTAGCTGCCGGGTTATCATCATCTTCACCTGTGCTGCTAGCGGTGGGACGAGCTCTGCATCCGGGCCCCGAGGGTCACACGGGATCAGTCTAAGGGGGCGGCAGCTTGTACCGTGTGAGACGGTGGTCTGGGCCTGTGTGGCGGGTAGGTCCCCATGCGGAGGGGACCTGCTCAGAGGCCTCTGGTCTCTCTTCCCCCTCAGGAGCTGGAGCGGCTGGAGGTGGAGAGGGTGGAGATGATCCGCCAGCACCTGTGCCAGTACACACAGCTGCGGCACGAGACAGACATGTTCAACCAAAGTGTGAGTTCCCCGCCCCAGGCCGAGGCCAGCAGGGCCCCCGGGTGGCCCGGGGTCAGGGAGAGCCGCTGCCGCCACTGCTCTGCGCCAGGTCAAGTGGTCACTGCAGATGAATCTGTCTTAGAGACGGCAGGGGCAGGCTGGGGATGGACGGGGGGATTGTCCTGTGCTCCTCTGCGACCCCATCTCGAGCACAGGAAATAGAGCCGTTGCCTGGGGAGAAAGACGCGCATGATAGTTACAATAGCGGAAGACAATATGGCCTGCCCCCATGAATCTCTCACCAAAAGAAAAAAAAGGTGGGAATGTTCAGAATGTCCAAAGCTAAAGTGTCATTTGTCCTGTTCCGTGGCGGAGGACATGGGAACGAATGGTGGGTGGTCATGGGCCTGGAGCCGTTGAGGCCACTCTGCCCTTTCACCCAGCCCGGGGCCTAGCAGCGTGACCCAGAGGCAGCGTCCCCGGCTGTTCTGCCACCTCTGACCGTGTCCTTTCTTCTCCATCCCTTGCAGACAGTCGAGCCTGTGGACCAACTGCTTCGAAAAGTGGACCCAGCCAAAGACAGGGAGCTGTGGGTCAGAGAGCACAAGACGGGCAACATCCGCCCTGTGGACATGGAGATCTAGACGGGCACGTGCGGCCCCGGGGGTCCTGCCAAGGACAGGGGCTGGGGGTCCCATGGAGAGGAGGTGGTGGTTCCCGCCACGGGGCCTGCTGCCAGCTGGAGCTGCCCTCCCACCCGCTCCCCTGGCCCACTGAGGAGAGAGAGGGCGGGGTGTGGGCTGCAGCTCGTGGTCCAGAAGGGCGGCCCGGATGGCCCCGTGGGAGGTCCCCAGTGTTCCCAGGCCAAGAAGATGGATCCACAGCCCCGCCCTTGTCTCTGAGGCTGAAGATCCCCAACTTCCATGCTGTGCTTTCTGCTTTGAGAACGAACTGAGGCTGGAACTTTGTGGTCCCTGATGAGTACCATAGGGGTCATCTCCCCACCCAGAGCCAGCTGTGTCCCATGCTCAGGCCCCGGAAGCCCCAAGGTCCTTCCTCCAGCTGGCTCTCTCTTCCCCGGGCCTTTAGAGGGTCAGGAGAGGGAGGTCTCTGTCTCCAAGCCGCGTGTCAGGGTCACAGTCGTGGATCGAAGGCCCCATGGAGCTGAACTGCAGCCCTCAGCGCCCGTTGCCGCCCTCCCTCGTCGTCTTTCCCCGTGTGTTCTGAGAGCCCGCGTCCTGGCTCCTGTCCGTCACCGTTCATGATCGAGAGCCTTGGGAAGAAGACCTGGCTCCTGACTCCCCAGACTGACACTGCCTGGGGAGGTCAGGAGGGAACTACCTCATTCAGCAAATCAGCCCTCAGTCAGTGCGTCCGATCGTGTTTCCTAGTAGATCAGCATCCTCAGTAAAGTCTCCTCTCTAAAAGTCCCCATCCCCCCCAGCCTTCACATGCTCCCGCCTCCTTTCCACTCTTAAAGGGGCTGGGTCAGTGCTATGTGGGGCAAGTCTTTGTCATCACCCAGATGGCTCGACCTGCTTGTGCATGGTAGCATTGGGATCGCTGTCCTTTGTATGGCTTTCTCTCATTGGTGGTCACTGTACAGGCATTGAAGACTCACATGGCCACAGTAGATCGTCACCCACTCGGCGGTGTCCTGCCACCTTGGCCTCTTAGCACCTTCTGCACATTCCAGAGCCCTGTACCATGCCCCTGCTAGGTGGGTTCTCGTACCACCCTCTCCTTTCTTTATCTCCCAGTGTCTGAAAAACCTGGTCTGAGTGCGACTTAGGAAGCTGTGAGGGCTGCCTCCGGGACCTTGCTCCTCCCTTTTTCCTTTTCCTGACCGCAGCAAACATGGTCTCTGTCATGTTAAGTCTTGAGCACCAGTTCAAAAGAACCAGAAGAAGAAAAGGGACCTGCAGGAGGTCGTGCAGCTGGCAAGGGGCAGATCCCGGCCTGGAGCCCAGGCCCAGAGACCCGACCCCTCTGTCTTACTTAAGCTTCCCTGCTGATGACAGGGTGAGTGGATTCGCAGGACCCGTTTTTCCCGAGAGCACAGAATTCTAAGAGCACAACTCACTGGTCTCTCAGTCTTACATGCCAGTGACTGATGACTTACTAATCTTGGATCTTTTGGTACCTCTTTCATTAAGTCAGAAGCGTTCTCTCATAGTTCATGGTAGAACGATGCCAAATATACTAAAGCAAACCAAACTCTGTCGCTTTTCCTATTGAAGCATCTCAATCAAAAAGGTCAGTGAGAAGGCCTTCACCAACATGAGTCTGTCCATGGCACGGAGAACCACTCCTGGACCTGGGATTGGGCCATGACACCAGCCACCAACGTCAGGGTGTTATTTCTTGGTGTCTTTATTAAAAACAGGTGCTAGTAGTAATTGCTTTGTGGCTTAGTAAACTAATTTGTGGATGATTTCCAAATATTCAAAGCCAAGAGCCTTGTTAGGAACACAGATATTTTGAGTGGTTATGCTCATGCATTTTGTCTTCTCATTTCCATCTGAGGTTTCCAGGGTCCTCTGTCCCTCCCTGGGACAGAGGACATGTTCTTGCCTCTTCCAGGGTAGGCTGAGCTGGTCCAGGTGGGCCAGTCTGTTTTCTGATGTCACTTGTTCCCCCTCGTCACCTCACTTCAGTCTCATTAACTTTTTCACATGCCCCCTTTCTGTTTTGCTGCCCTCCTTTATTCATGCATCGGCGTTTAGCTAAAGCCAAGCAATGTGCTAAGATCTGAGGACAAGATATGGGCTTGTCATCAGGAAAGCCTGTGATCTGTTATTTTGTGTAGGTTATCTTTTTCCCAGTATGCCTGCAGGTTAGTAACATTAGCATTTGCATACAGGTACTCTCTGCAGAATGTGGGCTTGCAGAGATACTGCCTGGAGTGCCAATAGATTTGCATTCATTCGTTAGTCCTGTTTTTTAGCAGATACTTGGGATAAGCCAGGCACTGTGCAGGGTTCTAGAAATGTAGCTGCATACAAAACTGGCACTCCCCCGTCTCCTCTGTTCCCCATGTTAACAGGGGCATAGTTTGACCTTTCTGGAGAACAAGAGCATTTAACCTTCCACATCTCACCCACTGGCAGCCTGCAATTCTAGTACAAACTACTGCCATGAGGCCTTTACCAGCGGGTGGTAGGTAGGCAGCAAACAAGGGTTCAGTCGCCTGGTCGCCAGACCCTCACAGCCCATATCCAACTTGAGTTTCTGGGATTTCTTTTGTTTCAATAACACTCCTCACATTACTAAGAGGATGAAGTCTAAGCCTGACCAGTGAGCGAGGAGAAATTAGCAGAGTGAATTAAGAGCAGAGCTAGAGCCGATAGTCCAGGCCCCTTGTATTGTTAACGGGGCTCCCCTTGCCCCCACCCCACCGGGTGAAGTCAAGATCAGGACAAAGTCTAGAGCATCTAAAAGATAGTACTTCAGGGTAGCAAACATTCTATCCAGGTTGTTGTTTTGTTCTGGGGTTTTTTTGTTGTTTTTTTTAATATGTTTTGACATTTAGGTTATAAGAGGATTTGGCTGGGTTTATTCAGAATAGGCAAGCGAGTCTGGGTTATTCCTGAGCGCATCTATTCCATTTCTGAGCACAGGTGAGCCCCTTCTACTTGCTTCCACTTAGTTTTGTCTGTGAGAACCTGATTTTAAAAAATATATATCTCTGCCAGATAAATGGTGTTCAGAGTGAGCTGGTTGCCATGACAACCTCCAGGAAAAGCCACTCATTCCCTTCCATTTTCCTTCCCAGCGTTTTTGATCAGTATTGCAAAGGGACGGCCGTCCTGGGGTCCTGCGGCAGGAGGGCTTCTCTGGCCGCTGGGGCGGACGGGTGCCGGAAGCAGACAGAAACCGCGCGCACACTCACGGGCCAGGGGTTTGTGTCTACTCCCTTTGTGGAAGCCAATCAATTACTAGGTCAGTGGATGGGTACATAAAAACCTTGGCTGAGCCAAAGTCCCTTCTTGGAAATACAAGCCATAAAATTCAAAGGACGTCAAAGACCTCGGCTTGTTTAAGTGATTTTACATCCAGCTGTGAGTGGCCTTGTCACGGAGAGTTTGCACAGGGTTCTGCAGACCTGCTGGCGACCACAGAGGGAGGGAAGGCGCTGCACAGATGCGCGGTGGGGCACAGACCGGCAGCGTGCACGCTTAGTCAGCACGCCGTCTTCTTCCTTGGTCCTTCCCACCCCTCTAAGACACGCTGCCTTTTCTTTTTCCAGGTTTATTGAGGCATTTGACATACAGTACTGGGGTTTATTGACATACAGTAAAATTCATCCTTTTGAAGTAAATGGTTCTGTGAATTTTGACAAACATAAAACCTTGTAACCACCACCGGCATTAACATAATATTTCCATCGCTCCAAAAATTCCCCCGGGCCCTTGTGGGCAACCCCTGTCTCCCACCCCCAGCCCTTGGCAACCACTGATTGATTTTCTGACCTTATAGTTTTGCCTTTTCTAGGATGTGTAAATGGAGCCCGACTCTGTAGCCTTTGAGGCTGGCTCCTTTCTCTCAGCTTGGTATTGTTGAGTCACCCCCTGCTGTGCCAATCTTTTTCTCCTCTTGCGTCACTGTGTGGTGTTCCATTGCGTGGGTGTACCCCACGGCTTCCTTGCTTTTACAATGCCTTGTTTGCCCCAGAAGTTCCTCTCCTGGGGTCTACAGCTTGTTTGCATGGCTGCTTCCAGCCTGCTGCTTCCTACCACTCCCAAGCCACCTCCTCCAAGTGCCAGCTCTGCCCACAGGTAGTTCTTGCAGCTCACACTTGCCTTTTTGGTTCACGTCAGGACTTGACAATGCAGAAAGTTGCCAGGACTCGGGGGAGGGCTGGGCTGGGTCTCCATTGCCTTTTGTGCTGTGCCCTGGAGCTTGCCTCTCAGCCAGCAGATCCGCCCTCTCCCGGGGACCCTCATGTCAGCTTGGCCACACAGTCCTTGGCGTTGATTGATCATTAGGGGGTGTGGAAGGCAAATGGATGAGAAGGTAGGGGGCTGGCTGCAGGCTCATCACAACCCTTTCCTGGATCTCTTTGCTTCATCTGCAGACTGAGGATATTCTTCTAGAAGTTCTCTCAGGCCTTGTGCAATTACTGCATTCTACTTGTCCCCTCTTCTCATTTCCAATCTTGTACCCTGTATACATGGTCATCCCTAACCTGGGTCCCCCCTAAGCACAGCGGTGCATGGTGTTACCTAAAATCTTCATGAGAGGGAAATGCTGGTACTTCTCCATTTAGACACAAATAAAGCTAAAATTAAGAGTCTTGAGAGCTGTTGAGAATGAGGTAGTTCCTCCTTAGGGCCCCCAAGGTGACGACTCCTCCAAGCCATGTCTTGATCGTGCCCTGCTCAGTGACAGGTGAGCCCTGGAAGGCAACCAGGAACCTCTCCGAGCAACCTGAAAACCCCGGGGTCCAGGCCGAGGCCCGGGAGCCCAGGCCCGCAGGCTCCCACGGGGGAGCCAGGGATCTGTGCTGCTGGGACGTTCCGGGTGGATTTTGCCACAGAGTCTCCTCACTCCCCACCCCCAGAAGTATTATTACTTCTGTCAGGCCTTCCCTGAGGGGAGGGCCCCAACTCCTGTTGCAGCAGGTTTGAGTGAGACTAGACAAGTGACAAAAAAAGCAACACTCCACTTTCCCTCACCCTCTCGATGCTGGGGCCGGGCTCTTTGGGGAGCCTTTGTTGGGAGGTGCCTCTGAATGATGGGGGTTGTGACTACCTTCGATCTCTCTGTGTGCTGTTCAGGGGACATTGACCCTTTGTGTTTTCAGGGAAGTTCCTAACGGGATTGCAGTGGTGGAATGCACAGGGTCCAGCACATGGGTGCTCTAAGGGGGACAGCGTGACACTGGGGCAGAGAGGTTCCAGTGCAAGAGCGCCGGACTGGGCCCACTTGGCTGTCTCATTAGCCCTGTAACCTGAAGTTGTCACAATTCCTCGCGGGACCTCTGCGGACTCATCTGTCAGCTGAGACACTCCCTTTCCAGCGTCATAAGCAGCAGACTGACTCTTGGGAGCTATGGCCTCCGGGTAGCCCCGTGGACCGAGGGACAGATGTTCAAAGGGACGCCGGCCACCCGTGGCGATGGGCCCCCAGCCTGCATCTCTGCCCTTCCCTCAGGATGGAGATGGGAGGGTGGGGGCACAGCAGCCCTTCACAGACACGAGAACATCAGCAAACCCTGCGGAAGTGGAATTTTCTAACAAAATAAACTTGCTTGTTTGGTCTGTTTTCTGTAACTTTTGCTAAATACTTTATACATTTTTAATGTTACAAAGCTGTGTCTCCTGCCAGCGTTCCTCCTCCCGGTATGAATGTGTTTACTCCACATTGTATATCCTTCCACCCTCTGACTGCCTAGATCGGTAAATAAAATGGATGTAATATAATTTATAAGTAATACTGTTGAAACTCTGATCCCTATGGGGGCTGTAATCAGCCCTCCCCACCCCCTGTAATAGCATTTGTGTGTATTAATGCTGAAGAATTAAATGTTTAAAGTGTTTAACTTTTGAAGGCGTTTGCTATATATAATTCTGCATTACTATAAAGCATTTTCAGGAAGTTAAATGCTCTCCCATTTTTCCCCTTCAGCTCTGTGTGTACACTTGAGATGCTTAGATTCACCCCATGTGAAATAAACTGTCCAGGGACACTGGGTCCCACTGGGTGACCCTCCTTCCTGGAAGGCTGCCACTCTCTCCTTTGGACACAGGGCCTCCGCATCCCCCCCCCTCCTCCGGCTCCGAGGGCGGGTGATCGTTTTACTCCTGATGACTCAGCGGGGATACGAAAGGCATCTGGGCATCAACCCCACCCCCCCACCAGGCAAATGCTGTGCTGCCAGACCCACACACCTGACCCCAGTCCCTGTCCCCTCCCCTGGTGACTCGTCCCTATGGACAGATGGGGCTCTCAGCTATTGTTTCCTGTCTCATCCATCCACCCATTGATGCATCCCTTCCTCCCTTCATGCCATAATTATTGAGCACCTACTGTATGCCAGACACTGTCACAGGTAATGGGGACAGTGAATGAAAGAGGTCGGGCCCTGCCCTCATGAACGTCCTCTCTAGCAAGTAGAGCGACATCCGTGCAGTAGAGCTAACACGATTTCCGGCAGAGGGCAGTGGGGTGGGACAGTGAGAGGGGCTGAGGGTGACTCCGCGGACGTCAGTCCAAGCCACCGAAAGGGCGGGTGGCCGCTCAGCGCAATGGAGTGGCCACGGGAGGGCGCTCTTTCCGGGGTCTGCCTCCCACCCTCCCTGCCTTTTTTCTTCCAGTACGAACTGTGCAGGCGCTGATGCCGGGCCTGGCAGGGAGGCCGGAAAGGCCATCTGGTCTGCGAGCTCATAGCCGGGGATGGCAGAGGACTGGGGGCAGGAGCGGGGGTGGGGGTGGAGGAGGCCGGACCCTGGCTAACAGCGAAGACAGCCCCAGTTTGGGGAGTGACAGGCCAGCCCCCGGGAAGAGCCTGCTTCTTTCAGTCCAGGCAAGGCCAGGAGGGGAGACACCAACTGAGACCGGCTGGAGACGAGGCCTTCTCCCCAGTGGACTTCGGGGTTCGGGGAGAGTTTACGGCCCCAGCTCAGACTTAACAAATCCGTTCACAATACATCATCTCCAACAACTTGTTTGACTGAGGAGCATAAACTCTCCCTCTGATAGAAGATGTTTACACAGGTTTTCAAACAAACCTCCAGGTCATGACCCCTCCCTCAGCAGCATCAACACAGCTGCCTGTGGCCCTGTCCTGCGCTTGGGCCCCTCCCGGGCACAGCAGCCTGAAGGATGGGGACAGTACCGGGCTGCTCCCCACCTGGCTCCAGCTCTTTCCTCCTTGCCTCTGGGAAGGGTAGAGAGGTTGAGGGGCTGTAGCTGCCGTCTGTGTCAACCCAGGGCCCTGTTTCCTCGCCCTCCTCTTGTTGTCATGGCAACCCCAGCTCCACACCTGCAGAGATGGAGCTCCTTGCCCCCTTCCCTCAGGTGGCTGTAATGTGTGAAGAGCCCTGAACAGGGAGCCTGGCAGGCCTGGGCTTTCCTCCCAGCTTTGCACTTTGCAGCCGTATGACCCAGGCAGGCGACGTGTTCTGGAGCTTCGTTTCTCCACCATAGCATCGGCCTGGCCGTATCTGCAGGCTTGGCGTGGGCAGGCCGGGAGCCCGGAAGGCACTTCTGATAACGGCCCCTCACGCCTGGTTTGGAGGTAAGAGGCGAACCTCCAGCCCTGTTTTTCACGGCCGGGGTTCTGTGTGTTTGTTTCTGAGTTCAGTGACTGTCCTATTTCTAACTGCTCTTGAGAACAAACGCCTTGCTACAGGAAAATGAAATCTAGTAAAAGAGAAAGGGCTCTTAATAAATAACATGCTTTCGCAAACAGATGGAAACTAATAGTGAGCACACACGCACACACACACACACACACACACACACCCCTCCAACATTAAGGCTTCCTGAGAAATACTCAGGAACCATGAGGACCAGAGGGAGGCTGGAGGGGTGGGTGAGTAGAGTTGGTGGCTGAACTTCTGTCCTCCCTAAGCAACACCAGGGTGGGCCTGGCAGGTGGCTTTCTCCCAGCAGCAGGGACTTGATATCCCCTGCCATTGGCCTGTTATGATAGGGTACTAACCCTAACTCACCTGCCTAGAGACTGGGGCATTTATTCTTTGCAGTTTTGACCCCTGGGCAAAGAAGAGGCCCCTCTCCCATCCGATTTGGCAATTTGGGGGTTCCAGGCATGTTCCCCTCCAGCGTTATGCTCAGCCAAGCCACAGCACAGCCGACCTTTCCTCTGGGTGATGAGAATTCAGGTACAAAACATATGCAGTAGGGTTCCTACTTATGTCCTACACTCATAACTGAGCTGACTACCCGGATGCGAAGGCTCCCGTTGCAGAGCCCCCATCCCCATTTATCCCTTCACGCGCTCAAGAAGCATGTTATTGTCTGCTCGCTTCAGGCAGCAGGCTGCAGAGCAAACGGGCAACCCGCAAGCTGAAACCAAACCACAGATATGTTCTGTTTGGCCCACACCAAGTTTTAAAAATTTTTGAATTAACTCTCAAAATTTAAAAGCTTGGAAATTGCATCTAAAAATCTGATGTATGGATTTCTGTTGGATAAACAAAAAATATTGTAACACTGAGCCTTAATCATGTGACCGCTTTCACACGGAGTTGAACCTGGCAGCCCCTCCCACGTGTGACATAGGTCTCACCTCTCCCTATTGTCTCCCTGATCCAGCTGTTTCACTCCCTCGCTCCATCTGCTGGCTCCTGTAGGCAATTTAGTTTTTGATCCCTGTTGTAGATGAGTAATAACAAAAACTAACATGTACTTAGCACTTACTATGTGCCAGGCTCTGCTCTAAGTATGTTCACACATTAGCTCATTTCAGCCTCACAAAAACAATAAAGTAGACACTATTATTATGCCTGTTCCCTCAAGAAATATTCACTGGAGACCCAGCCCTGCCAGGCACCATTCTGGCAGCAAAGATGCAGCCGGGAACCAGCAGACAGTCCCTCGCTTCCATGGAGCTTCCACTCTGGTGAGGCCACAGGCGGCGCAGGGAACGAATAAATCGGAAGTTGGAGGGTGTACGGCGGAAGGAGCAACAGGAAAGGATGGTAGCCTGGGGTGTGCTGGAGTTGCCGGTGGGGTGCGCAGGTGGAAAAAGAGTGGACAATACAGACCTTGGAGAGAAGGCGACATTTAAGGAAAGCCATGAGGGAGATGAGGGATTAGGAGAAGAGCTTTCTAGGAAGAGAGAGGTTAGAACCTGAGCCTTGGGTCACACAGCTAGTACATGGCAAAGTTGGGACTCATCCCCAGGCGGCCTCCAGAGCCTGGGTCCTACTCCTGCCTTGTAGGGCTCAGTGAAGGACGAGGCGCTGGGGGTTAGGGCGGAAGACAGGCATGAACACCGTCTCTCTCAGAGAGCTGGGGTGGGGGTTGGGGGGATGAACCAGGGGCTGGGGTGGGAAGGCCTTGGCCCAAGACTTGGGCTCTGAAGGCTCAGACCTCCTGTCCCGTCCTCCCTGAAGGCCAAAATGGATTGACCACGTGCGGTCAGCTCTTTATTCTAATCTCAGAGGGGTTCTGGGAACTTGCCTCCCCGCTGCCGCAAGCTCCCAGCCCCTCCTCCTTCCAAGTACTGGGGTGAACCTGCTGCAAATCCTCCTAATCCACCAGCATCTCGGTGTCCATCTGATTGCAGCGGCACTGAGCCCTGGGAGCCCGAGGCCACGTCACTCCCACCCACACACCCACCCAGCCGCGACTGCTTGGACGGGCCCACGCCACCTCACCCATGGGGAACAGCAAAAGCGGAGCCCTGTCCAAGGAGATCCTGGAGGAGCTGCAGCTGAACACCAAGTTCACGGAGGAGGAGCTGTGTGCCTGGTACCAGTCCTTCCTGAAGGAGTGCCCCAGCGGCCGCATCACGCGGCAGCAGTTCCAGGGCATCTACGCCAAGTTCTTCCCCGACTCTGACCCCAAGGCCTACGCTGAGCATGTTTTCCGCAGCTTCGACACCAACAGCGATGGCACCCTGGACTTCAAAGAGTACGTCACCGCCCTGCACATGACCACAGCGGGCAAGCCCAGCCAGAAGCTGGAGTGGGCCTTCTCCCTCTACGACGTGGATGGCAATGGGGCCATCAGCAAGAGCGAAGTGCTTGAGATCATCATGGTCAGTCTCAACATCCCCGCCTTCCCCTGTGCAAGACTGGGGTCACCCAGGGTCAGGGCCCCCGGCTGCTTCTTGTGCACCTCGAGGGGGCAGGGCCTGCTGGGGGCAGGGCTGAGGGGGGGAGTGGGAGTTCACGCTCTATCACTTGATGGCTCTGAGAACACAGTGAGGGGTCTCTAACACACTGATTAACAGAAGGCTGGACACTTTTCCAGACACTTTCCCACAGCTTCGTTTTCCTCCTATTTACACTTTTTTGTTTCTTTCCTTACTTTTCCTCCCTTCCTCCTTTCCTTCCTTCCTTGCTTTCTTCCTTCCTTAAAATGTCCTCCAAAACCTTCAACCATGCATATTCAGATTCCACAACATGTTTCAAAGACCCAATAGGAAGAGACCAGAATGGGGATGTGAAATGCGGGCTCTAGTTCCAACTGTCTGCTCAGCACTTCACCCTGGGAGCCTCCTCTTCCTCATCCGCCCTGTTCTAGACTGAACCTCGGATCCTCAGCTCCTTGCAGGCGGCGCTTCTCAGCACACATTCTCCGCCCCGTCCACCCTGGCCCAGTATCGGGTCGTCTGTTGTGAAGATTTTAGGTGTCTGGAAAGTAGTTTTATTTAACGTAAAAGTAATTCATGAAATTTAGAAACATATGCCAAAGGAAATTGAAATTACCATTAATTTCACCATCCAGAGAAAACTGTCAACATTTCCAGACTTTTAGCTATAAATTTTAAAATAATTTTAGAACTATGAAATATTCATATGATTTTTATCATACCTTTTTCGGTTATTATTTTATTATGAATGTTTCCTATATCAGTATATATTCTTCAAAACCATTTTTAATAGCTCCTTAGAATTCCATCTAAAGTAACGTCATAAAATTATTTAACCATTCCTATATTTTAGACAATGAGGATGTTTCTATTTTTTCTATTGTATTATTTATATTTACCTTCATTTAGTACCTTTTTACATGATTGTTTTTATCGTCCTATTTCACGCCACTTGCTTTATTTTTCTAATTTCATTCCTGTTCAGAGGGAGAATGTTTTTCATGTTTTGTATAATTTTTGATGCATTTGTAATCCTGTTCTCATTTGCACAACGCTTCCGCCCTTATTAGGATACACCATAAACAGAGCAGCCCAGCCCGCAGCTGGTGTTCTGTGGGCTCTGCTTACACCTCCCGTTAAGGGCAGGCTCGTCTGGGAGCCTCACTGGCATCTGGGCAGGGCCTTCAGATCAAACTTCGCTGATTGGCAGGTGGCCTGGGGTAGAGACCACATCCCAGGACCACTTAGAAGATGCCGGGCCCAGCAGAGGCCTGCAAGATGCCGGGCCCAGCAGAGGCCTGGAGCTTCTTGAGAAAAAGGAATAGGAAGGGAGAAGGGGAAGAAAGGGTGGGGAGGGCAGGGCAGGGCAGCGAAGGGGAGGGGAGGGAAAAAGGGAGGGATTGTGGAGGAGCACCCATGGCTGAGGCTGTGTAAAGTCGCTGGCCTTGGAGTCAGAAGTTACAGGTTCCAGTCCCATCTATGCCACCAACTAGCTGCATGGCCTTGGGAAAACCCTGTAACTTGCCAGGGCCCGGGGTGAGCATCCGATGGTTCTTTCTTCGTTCTTTCACTGAGGCCTTGACCGTCTTGTTGGAAGCAGGGCGGGGCAGGCAGCAATAACTCCCAGCGTTAGCCATCAAGCCGGCACGTGGTTCCCGTGGCTCAGGAGAGAGAGGAGTTAACGGAGTCCCCTCCACTTCAGCTGCTGGGCACCTGCTGGCCGAGGCTGCTACCTGGACAGCTGGGTTTGATTTCCTTGCTCCTCTTGTTATAGCACAGGGGTGGGGGGGTGCTGAGCGGGTACTTCTCAAGGTCATTGACCTTCCCTCCAGGCTAATTTCATACCATTACTGGCTGGGCTCCCGAGCGTCTCCAAGGTGCCCTCCCAGCTCCCTCCCAGCACACTGCCTGCACCCCGAGCCTGCCCCCAGGCTGAGGGCACAGGCTGGGACAGGCTCGGAGCCATGACCTGAGTGTTCTCTCTGGGCCCAGCCGGCCCGGGGGCTGGATGAGCACAGCAGGACCACCAGTCCCTCCCCCGATCACAGGTCCAGAGGCACCTCCTGCTTTGTCCCACAGCGCGCTTCCGGCCCCTTTCCTGGTGAGAGGAAAGCGAGGTGAGAAGGACCCTTGAGCCTAAAGCTAAACCTTTCTCTGGATCCTTCCCTGAGAGGAAGGGTAACTGAGGGGCTTCCTGAGCCCAGGGGAGACCTTTGGAAAGTTCTTGTTGATGCCTCCCCTCTCCCTTCCCCAGCCCCTGAAATGCTCTCGCAGCATAAGAATATGTTGGCAAGTGGCATAATGCAAACTAAAATCAAAGTGCCTGGCTTAGAATCTCTGATCATCTGCATCTAGTCGGGTGACTTTCAGCCAGGTAGTTGTCTCAGTTTCTTCATCTGTAAAATGGGGTCAATAACGCCCACCTCATAAGATTGTGAAGGTTACCTGTAAAAATGCTCGGAACAGTGGCGCACATTAAGCACGCAGCGGATGTTGGCCCCTGTTACCACCAGCCAACCCGGCCGGGCAACCGGGCACCATGTGGACCTGGGGGAAGCTGCTGGGTGCCCTAAAACTCCAGGCAGCAGGGTTCAAGGCAGCGGCTCCCAAACTGCAGCCTCAGGCTGCCGCAGGATTATCATCAGGAAGCTTTTCCTTTCTTATTTTCCTTTCTTTCTAATAAAATGAAAGCAACATGTCTTCACGGTCAGGAAATTCAAATGGCACAGAAAAGAACAAATAAGAAGGAAAAGCCTTCTTCACCCCTCCCAGGAGCTTGGGTTCAGTGGGCCAGGCCTGGGAATCTCCATTATAACACCAGGGCCACCAGCCCCTGCGACTCCTGCTGATGTGTCATTCCTTTTGATTTGGTGCAGGCGATTTTCAAAATGATCAGTCCCGAGGACGTGGAGCACCTTCCAGAGGATGAAAACACCCCGGAGAAGCGAGCGGAGAAGATCTGGGGCTTTTTCGGAAAGAAAGACGATGGTGAACGCTCTCGCCCTCGTCGCCGCCGCTTTCACAGTCACGGGCTATTCCCTGGCGATCCCGGCGAGATTTAGCCTCTGGGGCCCCGTCAGGCAGGGCTGGCTGACGGACCGACCCGCCGGCCAGCAGGTCCACCTGCTGTCCCCGGGGGCCGCCGCCGCCGCCGCCGGAAGTGGTGCCCGTCCCGGGGCTCGGGCAGCTCCAACGCCCTCTGAGAGTCTCAGGGGAGAAGGAAGGCTCGGAATGGCGGGGCGCTTTGGAAGGGAAGCATCTTTGGTCATGACAGAGTTAGCCCCCGCTGAGGCAATAGTGAAAAGTAAAGGCAATAGCCTATTAGAAGATTGTATGCACATGCAGAGCTCAGAGGAATTCAAACTACTTTCTGTTTATGTGGAGTGCGCGTTTGTAGACACTTTGGTTTACTTTGCTTGTTTCCAAAAATGCTTTCTAAATGGCTAGGACAGGGCCAACTTTAGCTCCGTCTACGTCTGAATTAGCATCGAGTCCCAAGTACATGGGATCTCAACGTACATATTTTTACTGAGGAAGTTCATTTGGGTGCCCCGAGAAGCACTTGCCAGGTCGCATTAGATTTAAATTAGAGCGGAAGAGATTTATTGGGGGAAAGGCCTGTGAGGGAAAACTGGTAGTTTTCCGACCCTGGCCTTACCAGCCTGCAGTCCAGGAAGAAGTCAGAAGAGCGGGAAGGTCCCTCGCTCTAGGGCCAGAACCAGGGAGGCCAGCGAGGCATCTAAGTGCAACGCCGAAGGAGGCGTTCATTCTCCGGTGCCGCCTGTGCCCCCGCACCCCTGGGACGGAGCGCCTACTCAGGGTGTGCAGGGTGGGTGCCTCACTCGCTTCGCCTTAGTCCCAGCCTGGATGTCACCCCCCCTATGAGCACCTCGTCCTCATTCCCTCAGACCCTGGTGCTTAAGATGACTCCCTGTGGCGCCTCACCTTCTGGCTCTTTGTGCCCCTGATGACGTCCCCCGGGTCTGCTGCGTGCCGGGTCCCCTGCTCTGTTGCTGCCTGAGCGGGAAGCTGACCCAGGTGAACGTCACAGGAGATGGTGGTGTTATGGGGCTGACACATTGCCCCAGCCGGGTGACCCGCATGTTCCCTTTCACCTGGCCCACCTTGGGACAAGGCCCCGCTCCAGAACTGGGCTCTGATGGTGGGAGTTTCCGGCTCTTCGTGAGGGCAGCTGGGAGTTTGAAACACAAATTTCATCACCTAGACCTGCTCAGGGAACCAGCCTGGGTCCTAATCCAGGATTAGGATTAAGGGTGTCCGAAAGGCCTGGAATATAAACTAATGGAAGTGGAAATCAGTTCAGCCAAGCATTGCTGAACACCTACTGCATGCAGGCAACTATGAGCATCACCATGATCTGAAAGAGCATCCGTCTCACTTTAGAGGCATTTCTGCATATGACTGTCTTCCCCGCTGGACCAAGAGTTTCCAAGTGGGGCCAGAGACTTCATCTTGCTCCCTCCTGTGCCACATCCTGTCCTCTGCCCTCTGCCCTCTGACCCCTGCCCCCTGCAGTGACCTCAGCCCCAAGCACAGTGACTCCGGCCCAGAGGAGTTCAGCGAAACACATTTAACTGGCTGGAACTGAATACAGGAGGTGGGACGAAGGCCCTCTCTCAGTCCCACGAGGCAGAGGGAGATGAGGGATGCCGAGAGGCACAGGGCAGAACCGTGCAGGAGCTGTCAGCTGAGGCTTGTGGGGCTGCCCACATGCTGGGGGCGGGGGTCAGGGAGACCTCTTCACAAGCCAGGCTCCCCCTGGGCACTGCACTGGACCCCTCAACGTTCAGCCCCTTCTCCTGAGTGGATGCTGGTCCCTACTTCTCAACTGAAACTGTTTGCTTTGTTCCATCCCCTAAAAGTCCTCTCAGACTTTGAGGCTGGGAATCTAGGGTAATATTAAAAATATTTAATAACCCGCAAGGCAGAGGCATTGGCCAATCAGAAGAGAAGCATAACAACAAAATGCATCCAGGACCCCTCAGGAGTGCTGGTCACTAACCCTGCCACTTCTGGCTCATGGGGAGGTCTGCGGGACAGGCTGGGTATCTGGGGTGGGGGAGGGGTATACCCTGGGGGCACTGAGACTCAACGTTTTCATAACCGATACATCTGTACAGGGCGCGCTGGCGGACGTCAGCCTTGTCACAGCTTGAAACAGCCAATCCAGGCTAACGTATTTTTCTCCCACACACAGATAAACTGACAGAGGAAGAGTTCATCGAGAGGACCCTGGCCAATAAAGAAATTCTGCGGCTGATCCAATTTGAGCCTCAAAAAGTGAAGGAGAGATTCAAGGACAAGGAAAAGAAACCGTGATGCCAACTGCTAAGCTCTCCTGCCTCCCCTTACCACTCACAAAAACACACGCACACACACCCCGCCCATACATACACGTGTGTGCACACAAACACACCCCAGGGGCCAAGAGAGAAGCCGCCAAACCCACAGACGTTAAACCCACAGCACAGCTCCCTGCCTAATGAAAGCATCTTTAGCCGCCTGCTGGCTCCTTCTTCCCTCTGCCTTCAGAGCCCCTCCCCCCGGCTCCCCCTCCCCCGGCCGCCAGCCCAGCCTCCAGCGATAATCCGAGGATCAGGTCACAGGAGCCCTGAACATCACCCCTGAGTAAGCGCCTTTGTAGATTGCTGGGTAAGCAGGTTCAAATAAATGCAAGAGTTGCTGGGCACACAGCGGGCTGGTTGTTCTTGAACTGGGAAAAGAATCATTTGATTCCTGTGGGTTCAGCCTCAAAGACAGGGACGCAATGCCATTGTGGTCATAGGCCCGGGAGCTGGGACTGTGGTGGTGAAATTGGTGGACACCACTCTGCTCTCAAGGAGCTCAGGGCGCAGAGGGGACGCCAGGCCTTGGAGCTGCTATTACAAGTGGGAGGGTTCCCATGGAAACATCCAAAGCCCTATGAGCTGTCCCAGGAGGGGCTGCCTGGTCCAGAGGATCAGAGAAGGTGTTCTTGACAAAGAGACATTTGAATTAAGGCCCAGAGAACTGTCGAGGGGGAAGGGAAGGGGTAGGGAAGCACTGTGTCTCAGCAGAGACCCTGAGGCAGGAACAAGCATTTCTTGTGCGGAGGCCAGTGTGGCCAGAGCCCAGGGGGTGGCCGCTCGGCCAAGGGTGAGTTGAGCCTGGCAGATAGGCAGGGCCAGACCACATCAGCCTTCCTTGCAGCCCACAGGAAGCACTCAGCTTCCCCGTGGGGGCAGTGGGTACCATCGTGGCGTTTGGAGCGGGAGAGATCTATGTTGGTAGCACCCTCCTGCAGGGTAGAACAAAATCAGAGGGGTAAGCCTCGGGGCAGGGAGGCTGGAGGCGACCCTTGTCTAGTTGCCTAGGTGACCTGGGCTGGGGACCAGCAGTGGGATGGAGAGAATGGGGCCACCCTGGAGACATATAGGAGGTAGAACCCACCTTCCTGGGTGTGGGTGCAGGTGGGAGGAGCGAGGACGGCAGCCAGGTGCGTGGCTGGGGTGCTGGGTGGACAGGGAGCCCCCTGCCAGGATGGGAACTGGTGGGGGAGAGTGGCTGGGCTCAGGGGATAATGGCCAGTTCAGTTCTCATGTGGGGAAAGCTGAGGCCAGATGTGCTGGAGGTCCCTCCTTTTAGAGACGGGCAAAGGAGGCCCGGAGTCAGCAAGCAGTTTCCAGGGTCGGTCCGCTGATGAGCAGAGGCCAAAACTGCCCACTGGCCCACGTTGCCTTATCAGAGCTGCAGGGCCTGGAGCCCCAGAAATCTCTCCACCAGTGGGCTCTCAAGATCACTGGAGTCGCTGTTTTGAAGGCCCGTTTATTCCCAGCTCTAAGTTTCAAGGTGAGGTCAGAAAAATATGCAGACGTCCTGGATACTCGGCTGACCTGCGTGCACCGCCCTGAAACAGGGGTGTCTCTGCTCTCAGGTGTACACCACCCAAGACGGGGGCGCCTCTGCTCGCTGGTGTGCACCCCCCGAATCAGGGGCATCACTTCCTGCTCATGTTAGTGATGATCCCCGCTCCGCACCCCCAGTTTAACCACAGCAATGGGACAATCACTGCCACCAGCAAGTGACAGGACAGAGAGTCCTGCAATCCCACAGCACTGAGGCTGGGAGGGGGAAGGGGCTATGCAGCCTCTGGGCCAGAAGTTGTGTGAGGGGGAGAGTTATTAATAGAGTCACCTACCAAGACACCCCTTAGGTATCAGACATAGGGAGCCACCCAGGAGCGAACGCCGGTGGAGAAGAAAGACCACGCGTCTAGCCCAGGGCGGTCTCAGGGTAGAACCAAAGCACACAGTGTCTCACTCCTGTGCTCCTTCTCCGCCCCGCACACTGCCCTCCTGAGTGAATCTGGTTGATTGGAATGTGAGGTCGGGGCTTTTCACTCCTCTCTGAGGTCAGGGCATCCGTGTCACTTGAGTCTAAAATAACAGACACTGCATAGTAGCCTTGCTGGTCCGTGGTTCAATGAGAGACATAAAGGGGCCGCCGGGTCTCCTACTGGCCAGGGGAGAACCCAAGAGCGGCAGCCTGATTAGCCCACCTGTCAGCTTGGGTGGCGGCGCGACTCGAGCCGGGTCCTGTACAGCTCTGGGGCCTCTGGGGGAGATGCTTAGAGAACCCAGAACCCGTGTCATGTCCACGTGGACTGAAGCGAAGAGGAAGTAGAGGTGGTGATGAATTATGTCATGCAAGGGACAGAAGACCCAGCATGGACTGTTGTGGCACAAATGGGACTTGACTGGCTCATTAACTGAAATTCCAGGAGTAGCACTAGTTTTAGGTCTTGCTCAGTCCAGGGCTCTTTCTCCATCTCCTGGGTCTGCTTTCTACCGTGGTGGCTCCATTCTTGGGCAGGCTATACCCCATGCTCGTTCTAATTTCAGCAGAAAAAAATGCCTTTCTATGTATGGTGAGTCTTAGCCAAAATCCCAGGACCATCTCAGACTGTGTATAAGCCCATCCCTGATCCAATATCTGGGTCCCGGAGGAGGTCAGGCTCGAACTGGCCCGGCAGAATTTCATGCCCATCCTTGGGGCTGAGGATGGAGTTCAGACAATCCTACTTCAGGAACCAAGAGTGGGAGACGTATGGTTCCCAAGAGGAAAGTTTGGGTACTATTAGCATAAGAAGGAAGAATTACAAAAATACATGGAGACTCTGGGAAGTCACTTCACCTCTGAACTTCAGCTTCCTCGTGTACCTGTAAACTCAGGGGCAGAAATGGGTCTCATCAAGAGCAATAAACTGAAGTTCCCTGTCCTCTATTGCCACCTGCTCTCACAGGATCCCAGCCTCTTGGGCCGTGTCCCTTGTGTATTTCTTAGCATCCCCACAGATTCAGCAACAGGTCCCTTAGTGCTGGGGACAGAGCACCAGATTCTCTTGGGCATGAGAGCCCTTCAGCTCCAGTGAGAAACAAATGCGAAAGAATCAACCAAATACAAATCAAATTAAACAAACGTGTTACTTTAATCACTAAAAGGACAAGAGCAAGCAGTGTGTGTGCGCCACCCCGTTTGTGGAGTGAGGGGGGAGGGACATATTTACAAAGCCATGAAAAAAAACTTCCTTCTATTAACGACAGTGTCCTAGATAATTGATCCCTGACAGCATCCGACACTCCCGAGACATTCCCATGTTGTCTCCTCTGATGCGTGTGTACAGAGCACCTACTCAGAACGGGCTGTGCTGGGCACAAGCTGGGAGGACACCACGGCCCCAGATTTCTAGGCACTAATAGTCTCATGAGGGAAGGCGGGGCCGTTTGCAGAGAGGAAAAATTAGGAGGACATAGGATTTGGTGATTGAATGATGAGAATCTGTATACCCCAAAACAGACCTTTGTTACGCACTTGCCTAGTGCCTTTGCTTCAGTGTCGCCTTCTGCAAAGCAGCGCCGGGGCTAATGTGAGGGCAAGGTGAGCAGTCGCCTCAGGTGCAAAATTTAACAGGGAGGGGAGGGGGCCCAAAAACTCAGCAATCGACATAACTCATCTTTGAGTGCAATAGTTTAAACATAAAAATCAATGGTAAAAAGTCCAGAATGAGCAAAATGTCAAAATGTTAAATGCAACCAGGATCAGGCCCTGCACTTGCGTAAACTGGCCTGACTCCCCCTCACCCTCATCCCAGCCCTGGTTTCAATAAAACGTCATTGGTACGGCGGCCCATAGGCCATCGTTTGTAGATTTGATTTTTAAAAATATTGCATTGAGATATCACTGATCTTGACAATTGAGGTTTTTTAAAAAGTACTTTCTTAAATGTTACACCATCTTTTGCCTCTAGTCCCAGTCCTACTGCAAAGTATCCTTGAGAATAGGGTTGCCAGGTAAAATGCAGGACGCACAATTAAAACTGAATTGTAGATAAAGTATATCCCATGGGATATATTTTTACAAGAAGGTTATTTGTCTGGAATTCAAACTTCATTGAGCATGATCTATTTTTATTTGCTAAACCTAGCAACCCCCCTTGAGAAGTAACATATAGCCCCCTTCTAACATAAGGCGCTATTTAATCCTATGACATCACACCCCACCCACATACACGTACATTTCACACACTAGAAAAGCAACATTCCTGGGCATTAACGCCCTGTTTCCGTAGGCTGTTCATCTTTCCATCTTCTTTCCACTTCTTGCCTTTGAGCTCCGGCCGCTGAGCCTGACCCTAATTGCCTGGGCCTCCTCAGCCCCCAAAAGCACCCTCTGCACAGGGTCCCGGGCGCAACTCAGAATCTGCGTGGGCAGACGGGGTCTCGCAGGCCCCGCCCTCTCAGTGCTCCTCCCCGCCCCCGGCAGGCCAGATCGGCTGCAGCCCTGTCGCTTTTCCTCCGGCTTTCAGGATCCATTTCTGCTGGGACAACGGAATTCCTGTCAGCAGGCACTAGGGGCAGGGAAAGCAGTGGCAAACCAAAAATGCAGAGAATGGGAGGGCAAGCAAGGCCGGACGAACCCAGGCTGAGAAAGGCGGGCAGAGCCAGAAAGCAGTGGGGGTGGGGGCGTGGACCTACGGGGCCTCTCAGAGGGGACCTCGGGGCTGGGACCACCCCTGTGAGGAAGGCGAGCGTTGTGACAAATCAGACAGGACTTCTGCTGTAGACTTGAGATGGAGAGAGGGAGGAAAGTCTTAACAAGAGAGGAGAGGAGAAGGAACGGGATCGGGTTCTGTGGGTGGCGCGGGTGCCACACTGTCTGAGGACAGCAGGCGTGTCACAGCCCAACTGTTGAATTCAGGACACCACCGGCTTGCCCTGCCATCAGCCGTCTCGGCGGGGTTCTAGCTCCTGCACACCTGGGCTTGTGTCAGAACTACCTGGGAGGCTCGCTACCCAGCTGCCGTCCCTGGTCATCATCCCAGACATGCTCGCCCAGGCTCTGCCAGGAGCCGGCCTGTGCAGGTAAGCCCTTCCCAGGCGGTCCCTCTACACCCTGTACCCAGCCCACATGGACACCTTGCGCCACCAGAGGTAAAGAGAGAGATACCGGCTGCCCTATTTCATAGCAGGCATCTCTCTGTATCTTCGGGCTCCATCCACTTGAATTTAGGCCCAGCCCCAAAGGCTGGTGGTCATTCCGGAAAACATACCAGTGGGGTCATTAGGATGGCAATGGCAGGCAGAAGCGGTGAGCATTCACACAACCTCATACAGAGTGCAGGAAAAGAGGAATGAGCACACCCCACAACGCCCGTCCGGCTCGGCCTCCTCCTCCGCCACCTGTCTCCGGAGCCCCCCGAGCGGGCAAAGCCAGAGCTCGGGCCACCTGCCTAGGTCTCGCTCTCCTCGAGAATCTCCTCCACGGTGTGGGCCAGGGTGCAGTCTCCCTCGCTGCTCTCGGACAGGCTGCTGCCCCAGGGCCAGGCTCTGCGGCCCCTCTGAGACTGGGCGCTGGGCTCCTGTGGGCCCTTCGTGGTCAGCAGCAGGAGCTGCCCGCCACCAGGTGAGGACTGTGGCCGCTGCAGGGACCTGGCACCGTCTCCCTTGGAGAGCTTCTTGGGACAAATCCCCAGGAACCGGAAGTTCTCTAGGACCCAGGCTCTGCAGCCCGACTGGTGGGCTAGCAGGAAGCGGACCCAGTGCCGCCGCAGCTCGGCCTTCACCTGCCAGGTGAGAAGAGGGCAGGGTTACTGCTTCGGAGTCATTTGGTTGTGGGTCCACTCAACAAATATTTACTGAGTAGGTGGTGAATCGGGGCCACATGGGGAAACATACCTTCTACTTGGGGGAGATGAACAAAGAGGCATAAACCAACACCTGTTAGCACAGTGGTTGGAAGTGACACTAGGAGTCCAGTAAGCAAGACAAGCGGGGAAGGAGACAAAAATTTGAGGTACGATTGAACAGAAAGGAAAAGGAAAGGACTGCGTCGCGGTGGCGTTGGAGCCCACCTGCCGGAGAAGGAGCCTCTGCATGTGGGAGCAGCCGTGAGCAAAATGAAAGAGCGTTAGTTGCCAAGAGGCTTACATTCTGGTGGGAAGAGACAGAAATAAATGTTTAAACCTGGGATGGGAGCAGGGGAAGATGAAAGGGGACTGGAAAGTCCCCTGACGCCTGAGGTCGGGGGAACACTGTTCTGGCTTCTGCCCCTTTCAAGCTCCTTTCCAGAGGAGCAGAGAACTGGTTGGGGACATGCAATAACAGGAGTAATAACAGTAAGCACGGTTGTCAGGTATCGGGCCTTGACCAGGAGCTCGGCATGCCCAGCACAACATTAGAGGGTAGGGCCGGTTGTTATTCCCACTTTACAGATGAGGAAACTGAGGCTCCAAGGGCACAGCGACCCAACTCGCAGCTCCTGAGTGAGCGAGTGACGGCTACAGTCCGGGCGTCCGGTCTCCGGAGTTCCAGCCTGTCCTCTCTAACACGCTCACATTGTCAGCCTCCCCCAAGCAGGGCCAGGGTGGGGTTCTGGGCTTCCTTTCACACCTCCGTCTCCTTCCCCCACTCATCTAAGCTGCCTTCTGCTCTCATCCCTGGAAGCTCACAGTGCACATTTGTCCCCTAGCAGGACGGTCACTGTGCACTCGCCGGTGGAACTGTCACAGAAACAGGAGGCCCCCGGGAAGGCAGGATGCCCACCCAGCCTTGTAGGAAGCTAGGTGGTGGCATGGAAAACATACCTCTCCATTGGCAAAGCAATACTGCAAGGCCACAAGCAGCCCCTGGAATGGAAAGAAGAAGTGGCATGAACTTTGACTCAGTAGAAGATGTGCCTGAAAGTCCAGGGGCCTGTCCCAGGCCCAGCAGCCCCCCAGGAGAGGCAGGCAACTGCACTGTTTGCATTACCTAGAGCTAGGCACACTGGTTAACTGGGGTTTCCATGAGGGCTCTTCTTACTGTGACACCCACCACCTGTACCAGCCTAGGTGTTTGCTTAGGTGTTCATAGGTCCATGATGACTGAAGCCCAAAGACCTTGTATCATCCGTTCAGCTCTACAGACACTGGGCAAGGCCACTGGCCTATTTCTTCTTGTCCATAGTGGGCATTGGCTACTTTTTTTTTTGCCTCCCTCGAGCCCTGTCCTTTTGGAAACTGACCCTCCCTTAGGCTTCAGTCAGGGTCAATCATGTGGTCCCCATGTTCTAGGATGGCCATCGCCACAATATAATCTGCCCAAATGGTCATGTGACCCACGCAGGCCCAATCTGAGTTCTTGTCACTGGGAAAGAAGATTGTGCCGTCTTCCCTAGATTTGGCAGCTCTATAGTCAAAATAAGCCTGGGGATACTTCTGGGCATCTTGCCAGCTACATGGAGAAAACCCATCTGAGAATGAAGCCAACAGAGAGAGAAACAGAGGCTGGCGAGAGTGAAAGGATTCTGATGATACTGGCTGAGTATCTGGGTCTAGCGATGCCTAATTCTGACGTTTTCATTTCTGAGATAGTAAACACCCCTTCCCCTTGTCAAAATATTTCTTTAGCAAGGATAGATGATTTCACACCAGTGGTTTCTCTTCGCACTTAGATGGAAATAAAATGTAATCCCTGCAGGCACTAAGGTGATCTGGGCTGTGTCCGTGTCACGCTGCTTCTGGTGCCGCGCTTCCCCTGGGCCCCTGTATCCCAGCCAGCGGGCCTCTGGCTTCCTCCAGCATCTCAGGTTCATGCAGTAGTTACCTGTGGCTGTGCAACTCAGTGGACCAAAACCATGCAGATTTATTATCTCACATACTTTCACTGGGCCAAGAATCTGGCAGTGGTTTGCTGGCTGGTCTGCCTCACCGTGGTGTTTCAGGTTGCAGTCAAAATGTCAGTAGGGACTTCAGTCACCTGAAGGCTTCACTGGTTTCCACAGTGGCTCACATGCCTGGCCGTTGGCGCTGGTTGTTGGTGGGAGGCCTCTGTCTCCCTCCATAGAGCTGCTGGAGTGTCCTCATGACATGCAGCTGGCTTTCCCCCAGAGGGACCAAGCCAAGGGAGTGAGGCAGAAGCCATGTCCCCTTCAGGACCTGCCTTGAAAAGTCACGTACCTTCATGTCTACAGTAGTTCAATGGTTACACGTGCCGACCTTGTTCAGTGTGAGAGAGGACCACACAAAGCCTCCAATACCAGGAGATAAAGATCATTGGAGCCATGTTGGAGACCAGCAACCACAGCCAATTTCTTCCTAGGGCCCTTCACATTTTTGTTTTCTGAAAAATTCTTCTTTCAAATAGCTACCTAACTTCTCAAAATTCAGGCCTTCGCTCAGCTATCACCTCAAAGAAAGGCGTTCCCTGACCACTCAGTTTTTGGTGGCCATTCCAGTCACTATCACAGAACTCTGTTTTATATTTTGTATTTTATACAACACCAGAATTATATTAATTATTTGTCAACATGGTTATTATATGTCCCTCCCCCAACTCCAAACAAGACTAGCATCTTTATCTAGTCTTTTTTTTTAAGTCTTTTCACTGCCAGAACCACAGCACCTAGAAAAAATGCCTGGCACATAATAGGAGCTCAGTAATATTTATTGAATAAATAAGTGAATGACTGAGGGAATGAATGGATGAGTTGGGTTTCTGCCACATACAACGGAAAGAGTCTTGCCTGGCACATTGTCAGACCACTTATAAAATATGATAGGACCATTTCTTTCTGTTCTCTTCCTAGTTATTCAGAATTCCAGACCCAAGGATCACAATGAAAACAACAGGCCACCTTTATGCGGCGTTTTCAATTATCAAGCTGTTTGTGTCGGGGAATTTTCAATAAACAGATCATCTTTTGACGTTGGAACAGTTCTCTGGATTCACTGCCTAACTGCTAGAGGCCTGGAATCAAAGATGCTTGAGTTAACGTTTGTTTCCACTGTTTTTCCAGACTCCTACACTCCCTGATTTATTAAACAGTTATATGTGATAACCTACATGCCATGGCTTTCCCTGTGACGTGATGGGTTGGGGCTATATGTCCAATATACTGAAGCTGGGTATGTGTACTGGGCCCAATTACTTGAGTGTTTACAGGAAGAATCTCATAAAATGCCAGAATTCACAAGGAAAGAACATATTCCAACGTGAAGGTCCCAGTGCAGGCTGACTGTCCCATTTCTCCTAGTAGCATTTCTCTCAACCCCTTTGCTGGTAAGGGAGGTTCAGCGCTGGGAAAAATGATGAAATTGAAAAGGAATTATGAAACATTGCCCTGGGGGAAGATTTTTATGCTCTTCCTCATGGAAGCCAGACATCGTCATGCTGGTTATCACATCAATCAAATGTTGGATTCTCCCCAGCCATGTGGAATTTTTCTTCTCTTATGCGTCCAAGGCTATAGCTCCTAAATAGGGGCATGGTGGTACCAGCTAATCATTTTCACACATGCAATCTCATTGGTGGTTCGCAGGTGCCCTGCATAGTGGGCAGGGCTGGTAGCAGTGGCCTCTGGGCACAGGATATTAGAAGGGTAGTTTAGGGCATCAGAATTCTCATAAATGAGTTAGCTGAAATAGGAGCCCACCTCGCAAGCATGTCTGTCATTCCCTCAGGTTCTTGATTCACTGTTTTAGGAACATCCTGGAGTCTGGTCAAGTCTCATCCTAATAAAGTAAGTGTGAAGAGAGAGGTCCCACAGGACATATGTCACCTCCACTTGTCAGTCTCTCCAAAGATCCTCAGTGGTAGGAAGTGATGAAAATCGCTAAGCAATAAGCCCTTGTAAGAGTGAGGGATCCTCAAAAATGGCAAGAAAAGGAAGCTGTTAGGTCCAATGCTGATTCCTGCTGATTCACTATGGTATGACTCACCAAATATGCCCCCACGCACCTGTCCAAACATATTCTCACCTCTGCCTGGTGGGATGCAGGGGTATTAAGAAGGTGGAAAGCCTCTGACCACGCACACACCTCCGAAGTGTGTTCTCTGGCTCAGTTGCAGATTCCTGCTTTCTCGCCTTCCTCGGTGTGGCACTATGGTGAGCAGAGCTCTGTCTGGCTGCAGATCCAAAGGAGCCAGTGTGGTAGCTACTCTCCAGAGACAGCTCCAGCAATCCCTCCCCTCCCCATAGGCATATGCTATTCCTCACGTCAAAAGGTGGACCTTATTTTTCCTTTGAATCTGAGATAACCTTGTGACTCCTTCTACCAATACAACACGATAAAAGTGACATTCTGGGCCTTCTGAGCCTCAAGAAAGTTGGAAGTTTCTACTTTCTCTGTCTCAGAACATTTGCTCTCAGGATGCTCCAAGAGTCCAGCCGCCATGGTGGGAGATGCCCAAGCTACACAGAGAGGCCACTTGGAGGAGAACTGTGACTCTCTAACCGGTAGCCTCTGCTGAGCTCAGCCAACAGCCTAGGTCAATGTCTAGCCATGCGACTGAGCCATCTTGGACGTTCCTGCCCAATCGAGGCTTCAGATGATTGCAGCACCAGCCAAAAATTACATGTATCAAAAGGACCACCACACTGAGTCCAGATAGCCCAGCTCATGGAACCACAAGATGATGCAGGGGAAAGAGATCAAGAGATGATGTTTTAAGCCATGACATTTGGGGTCATTTGTTATATAGCAGTAGATGACATCAACATGCTCCCTTGCCAGAAGAGCATGATAGGCTAGAATTCCTTCTCAGGAACCTGTTCCTTAGCGGGGCAAAAAGGCCACCAAGTACTACTGATACAACAGCTGCAGCTTTTTGTTGTTATTGTTTTTTTCTAATTTGGGATTACCTTTCAAAGAAGATTAAAACCAAACAAGATAGGAAACTCAAATTACTAAACCTTAGCTTTTGAAATCTCCCAAAAGATTGACATAAATTAAACATGGTTGTATACTGATTGGTCCTCTGTCTCCGTTCAAAGCCTCACAAAGTTCAGATCTAATAGGAGGGAAAAAATGGCCATTGCCCACTGCTCAGACCACCCCACGGGCTCTGCCTGCCTGGCCTTCCGTGAGCACGCAGCGGACAGGCACGTCGCCTCCACTCTGGCCCCGGAGCGGCAGCCGCTGGCCCTGGCCGGTGGCATCTCCGTAAGACTCTTGTGTAGGGAATTTGGTCTCTCCTAGTTCTGACCTTCAGGGGCACCCGAGGGGCACAACGGTGTGATGGTTACAAGCAGGGGCTTAAGCTAACCGCTGCATACAGATCTCCAGCACTCACTAGAATTTGCAAGTTCTTCTTTGAGTCTCAGTTCCTTCATTTTTAAAATGGTATAATAATTTCTCCCTCACAAGATAATGTGAGGATTTGATGATCTTGGGAGTGTTTGGGGGTACACAGGTATTTTCTAGTATACCATTTTAATTGCTCTGCAGCTTTTCTTACTACATTTTTTTAAGTTTCCTAGTTTTGTACTGGAGGTTACAACATGCATCTTAACTTCTCATAAGCCATTTCATATTAATACTAACAATTCTGGTAGGATATAGAAACTTTTCTTCAGTGCAGCTCCCTTCTTCCTTGTTCTTTAGTGCTTTCAGTGTCGTAAGATATTAGGTCATTATATAATACAGCTTATAACGATAATGTTTATAATTACTTTATTAAATCTTATGTTTTTAAAATCAGTTCAATAAATTAGAAAAACATATATTTATATCTTTCATATTTACCTATGTATTTACCTTTCCTAGTGCTTTTTATTTCTTCATGTGGATTTGAGTTATTGACTCCTGCTATTTTCTTCCACCCTGACAGATTGTCTTTGCTGCTTCTCTTACGGAGGGTTTGCTGGCAATAAATTCTGTTAGTCTCTGTTTATTTGCATATGTCTTTATTTTACCTTAATTTCAAAATATAATTTTTGCTAAATACAGCATTCTTGATTAAACTATGTTTCTTTTCAGCATTTTAATTATGTCGTTCCACTGCTCGAGGGCCTCCATTGCGCCTGCCTGCCTGCTTGCTTGCTTGCTTTCTTTCTTTCTTTCTTTCTTTCCTTCTTCTCTCTCTCTCTCTTTCCTTCTTTCGGTCACAAAATTTAATTGTAAGAATCAAGCAGTGGTTATTGGTCAAACCAATCCATAACAATAGCTTTGAAGTATGCAGGTGCTAGCTCTTAAGAAAAGGTGACAAATACCAATCAGATTCTTATAACACTGTTCAGGATCTAAATAGGCATGATTCTGAACATAGTTCAATATGCCAGGCTAAGAGAATGATAGTGCAATCATCAATAATCAAACCAAAACCATAGTTTTCCAAATCACTTTTAGTTAAATAGAATTCTAGCTTTTTAAAAGTCTACATCTACATAAAACTAAAAGCAATCTAATGATGTTTCTACCTGAGATCAAAACAAGGTTATTTTTTCCTGTCTAAACATAATTCTTGACATTAAGGTAAATCTGAAATCAAATGATGTATTTTTTCAAACTTCCTTCCAAATTTAAAGCCCTGCTTTAGAGAGAAATTCTCATGATACACACACATATTTATATATTTTTCTTCAAAGACTAATGACAAATTTATGAGGTTAATAGGATTGAATTGGAACCATGATGTTAATAATATGAAAATAAAATGCCATGCATTTGTACAAAGTGTTCCTATATGATGCAGTATGAAATGTGATCACAGAATCTATGTATATACATGAATCACCAAGAGTTTAGGAATTAAGCTCATTTCAAAAAAAGTCATGCTATTATTTTTTTGAAGCAGAGGTTATAAAGTTGTGAGGTATAAAAAAATGTTGTATATAAAAGCTCCAAAACCAAGTATTAGCCTGAATTGGCAATAACAAAATCTAAGCCCAACTGCATCTTTATTGTGGCTATGTAACTTTTTGCTCTGTGGCCTGCAGGTCTGACTGAGATAAACACCTCTTATTTCTCGCTTCTCCTCGCATTCTCAGGCCCCTGCCCTCAGCTTCCTTTTTCATGGCTGTCTTTGGCAATGCCTCCAAATCTTGAAAGCCAAAGAACCTGCTCCAGTAAATGAGGAGGGTGAAAACCAATGCTATGTGTGATGTATGAAAGCCAAGCTAAGAGTATAAACTGAGAAAATACTAGAAGGAAGGCTGAGCAACAGCCTACCCTCAAGGGAAAAAGAGAAAATAAGAAACTGTGGGGTAGTTACTCCATGCCCTTCTTCCACATTATCTCTTGATTAGAAGAGTATGGAACCAAAATTTCAAGCTCTGAGAAGGCGATGATTCTGAAGGAAGAGCTAGGCAAGTGAGGAAATGGTAAAGAAGTATGGCAGCACTTTAGCTGTCAGTGAGTGTCTTGCTCCAGCGCTAGTAATTTCAGTAGGCCGGCTCTAGGAGAGACCAAATTCCGGCTCTGTTGATGCCAGCCTTTTCTGTGATCCAGCCTGTCTGTCGATGTTGAGTATCGATCTCATTGCCCATGTCCAGGGCCATGTTTTTTAGATTTCCTAGGAAATGTACTGCCCACTTGAGTCAGGTTCTCCTCCACTTCATCTTCTCTGTCATCATTTGCTATATGTTTAATGGATCCACCACTGGCCGCTCCTGTGGTTGCTTGCTGAGGCTGACCATTTGTCACTCAGCCTGGCTGCTTAGAGCCAACATTACTAGAAGAATTGTCTCTGCCATCACCCTTGGTTGCCTGATAAGACTTAGCAGACTCAAAGTTCTTCATCCTGTCATATGGACGGATGCAAATGCCACAGCACTTGCTGAGTTCTGTTAAAATCTTCTCTGCCTCACTCTGTCTCTATTGATTTGGTGCATGCCTTTCTCTGTATGGTTTAGTTGTTCCTCTTGTTCATTCAGTGTAGTGACAGTCTTGATTCCTGCTTCCTGAGGCTCAGTGGCTAAACCCAGGATCCTCCTTGTACTTTCCAGAGACTCATCAGTAACCTGGTGGTACCTCGACTTAATTTCTTCTGATGACATATTATCCACAATGAATTAAAACTCTTGAGAGGCACAGAAACTGAAATGTGGATATTCAAGGAGTTCTGGTCATTCCCATCTGGCCACGGCAGCTCTGGCCTCCATCGTTTCTAATAATACTCAGCTGGCATTGCATTGCTGGTCCCCCTAAGGAATAAGTCATTTTTCTGTTATTTTTCTCTTTGTATTTGGCTTCCAGAAGTTTGACTCTAATGTTTCTAGATGTGAAACTTTTTGTTTTATCCTATTTGGAGCTCATTGAGCTTACTGGATACCTAGATTAATGTTTTTCATCAAATTTGGAAAATTTTCAACCATTATTTCTCCAAATGATTTTTCTACCTTTTTCTGGAGAAAGGAGATAGAAAAACTCCCATATGTGTATGTTGATTTTCTTAATGGCATTTCTCAGATCTCTGAAGTGCTATTATTTTTCTTCATTCTTTATTTTTCCTGTTTCTCTGACTGGGTAATCATAATTGAATTATCTTCAAGTTCATTGATGCTTTCTTCTGCCACCTTAATCTGATATTGAGCCTCTCTGCCCCAACTAAGACCACAGGCTCAGACTGTGACATTGTCTTTCCTTGTTCCTTTGCCACTAGGATCATTACTGTATCTGACAGCACCCAGGAAAGTGGGCTTTTTCTGCTCGCTGATCTATGTCAAGTCAGCCCCTTTCTCCAGTGAAGCTGTGAGTTTTCACTAGAATTTGCTCACTGATGAGGGAGGGGTTGGAGGACAAGAACAATCTCAGGGTAAAAAAAAGCACAGATTCCCACTACTTTTACTCAGGTTCAGTACTTTTCTTGAATAAACTCTTCTCAATCTTTTGTATGCCTTTGGTTGATTTCCAGGGCCCTGAAATGGATATTATTGACAATTATGTTCAATTTTATATTTGCTTTTTGCAGACAGGATTTGCCAAGCTTCTGTCTTCTCCATTCTGGAAATCCTGCTCCTATACTAGCATTTTAAGATGATTAATTCCAACATTACTACTGTGTGGGGCCTTTGCTGTGTCCACACTATTTGTGGTAGTCTTTTGCATTAGTGGCCTTTGCTAATGAGCCATGCCTCCCAGTTTTCATGCCCTGTGCAGTCTTCTCCCCTTCAGTAAGGCTGGGTCTGTGACTTGCTTTAAACAGTGAATGCAGCAGTATCATTATGCAAGTTCAAAACTCAGGTACTTAGAAGGCCTGGAAGCTCCTGATTTTGTGCTCTTAGGAGCCCCGAACTGCCATAGGAAGTACGTCTGCCCTGCCAGAGAAACCATGGGGAGGGAACACACAGAGAGCAAGGCTCTAAGACAGTATGGGACTAAGGAATGTAGCTGACAGTGAGAAAGGAAGCCCCAGAAACTTGACCCAAATAAAGCCACTCCAGCCAGCCTAGACGTCCGAGCCTTTCCAGCTTAGGAACCAGACATACGCCTGGAGAAGGCATCTTGTAAGTTTCAGCCCCAGCAGGTCCCATAGAGCAGAAGTTAGCCACCCTTGTCATGTCCTAGCTGGATCTCTAACTCCCAGAGCCATGAGAATAAAACCAATTACTCTCACTTTAAGCTACTGAGTAATGGATAACAATTCAAGCAATGGCTAATTAAAATACCCAGGGAAATAAACCACAGCTGGCCTCCTCTTTCTTATTTCAGCCCCCACACATCTGTCAAGGTTCAAGAGCCTTCTGGTCTCAGTCCATTGGTTCCTGCTGAAGTTGTATTGTGTTCTGAGTACAGCACCTGAGGTGAAGACAACCTTCACTTTGCACAATGCTCTGCAGAGAGCCCAGCAAAAATAGGCACTTAATGAAAGGCTTCACGTCGACACGGTTAATATGACCCTGAGTCACACCAACAATTACAGCCCAGGAAACAGGCCGTTTTTTGCCTCTTAGTCACCACATCATGCTGGCAGAAGCAAGGCAACACCTCCACCTACCCTCCCTTCTAACGCCAAAGCCTCGCACAGAAAAAGCCTGCTGATTCTAGAGCTCTTATTTCCACCCGTGGGCTTTCTCAATTTTGAGTCTGTGTGGACCAAGGGCGTTCTGTTTTCTCCAAAGCCAAGGCATCCTGGTTCAGATGCCTACTTACATGGAAGGAGCTCAGTGTCAACTGAATGAAGAGTCGTATAAGTTTTGAAAATCCTTCGATTTGATCATCAGTCACAAAAGAGAAGATAATCTCATGAACACCCAGTAGAGGAATGAGAACCAGCGTTGATTTTGCCAACCTGCAACAACAACCAAATAACTATCATGAGGGCCACATTGGGAATAGACAACATTTCCTGCTCTTCTCTGCATGCCTTTACTGTAGCTGTTACATTGACAAACAGTTGATTTTCCAGTATGTTTTCTTGGCTACACATTGAATACCTTAAGGGCCACTGTGGTCTTGCTCTTTGGTGCATCCCAACACCTGACTCATGGCAGACGCTCAGAAAACGTGAATTGAATGAATGAACGAATGATTGATTTCTCCCACATAGATGATGATACCTACAGATACACCTACATTTTGCCTGGTGGATACATTTCCATTCACATGGCTGTCACCCTGGGGCACTCCACCTACACCATTTGACAAATGTCTTATTGCCTGGCTCGCTGGTGCCTTTGTCTCTGTCTCTCTCAGGACTTCCAACGTCAGTGCTTCACTGAGCAGAGAAGGGGGAAACCAGTGCTTGCCCAGGGTCACAGAGCCACTAAGTGCCAAATGCCCACCTGGAAGCGGGGCTTCTGACTCCATACTCAGGCCCTGCGCGCCCCATGCCGGGCTCCCCCATCAGCCCTCGTGCTGCCCCTCAGCCCAGGTGACAGCAAGGGCACAGGAAATGAGAATCTGATCCTCCTCATAAAAAAGTGCTGTCTAGAAGCTGTATCCACTCCTCACAAAAAAGGCACAAACATTCCTTGGTACCACCCACGTGCGAAGTGCACAGCTGCGGCCCAAACATTCCATATCACATACCGGTGGTTCCTGAACATGGTTGAGTGTTTGGCTATTAGCATGCCTTACGGAGCCGCACACACACACACCTTCCTGGCCCCAGTGACGATTCTCTGAATCAGAAGCTCCGTAGTCCGGGCCCCAGGAAGGTGAGTTGTTGAGGAATCCCCCATGGGATTCTGATAAGCAGCCACATTTGAAAATAACTGTTTTTACCATTGAGCTGCTTTTTGATTTAGAACTCACTCCATTAGCAAGGGTGAGTCATATTCAAAGCACAAACAAAGCTACTGTTTTATAGACATTGGGGGAAAAGAGCTTAATTATAATGAGTTTTTTTAGCCCAACTCACTTTCTTAAAGGGCCAGACTAGGAGGTCTCCCCCCAGCCCCCTGGAAGGAAAAGCAAAGAAACCTGGAGGGTCAGTAGCAGCTCATGGGCAGTGTCTTCAGGAAGGCGTAACTCTCTCCAAAAGAAAGCAGCGCTTACTATAAATCCTGGGTCTGTGAAAGCCGTTCGACTGCAACGTCATCAAGGAACCAGAACAACTCACCATTGTGCCCTAAAAGGACCTAAAGCCACTAGGAGCTGAGCAGCAGCAGGAGTCACCCAGAAAGAGGGACTCTACCCAGGCACATGAGCTGTGCCCACAGCCTTGACCGTCAAGGAGAGGCCAAGGGGTGGGGGAATGGGTCTGAGACACAAGCCCTGGTTATGTCGTTGCCCTGTGCAAGCTCACATGTACTCTTGCGCTCAGATCCCCCCATGCAACGCTCACTAAGCGAAGCAACAGCAAGGTGCTCCCAAGGAGAGACTACTTCAAGATGGATTTTTTGTTTTGTTTTTAATTTCCAGGAGTGTTTTAAAACCCTCTAGCTTGGAGTTTGCAAAATGGCAACGTGAGTTGTATTTGACCTCCGAACATTTTCTGCTTCTACTATGAAGTGATTTTTGTAATTGAAGCCACCTTTAAATGATAAGGAGATTTTAAGAAATGATGTCCAGATTTGCAGCTTCTTTTGAAAAATGGGGAGATCGGGCCCAGATTTCTGCTCGGCAATTGTCAGCCACAGCCTGATGGTGGCTGTCCCTGTAGAGGGGACATGTGCTTTCCACCCACAACCAGCCTGCTGGGCCTTGCGAGCGTTTGAGGTCGGGACGCTTGCTCTAGTTGCATTCTTTAAAACGGACCTGTGTCTCACCATCACCTTATTCCTACAGGCTTGCTATGGCATTGTTTTTTTAAATAAACTTTTTATTTTGGAGTAATCTTAGATATGTAGAAAAGTAACCAAGATAGTACAGCGTTCCCAGATGCCCTTTGCTCTGTTTTCCCTGATGTTAAAATCTTACATAATCACAGTACATTTATCCAAACTGAGAAACCAACACTAGTATGTGACTAATAACTATACTCCAGACTTTATTCAAATTTCATCGGTTTTTCCACTAATGTTCTTTTCACGTACCAGGATCCAATCCAAGATCCCACATTTAGTATGGGATGATTTTTAGAGAATGACAAGCTTTTTATGAAGTTTCGGGCCATTTTAGTAACTACCAAGTCTTGGGATGGATGTCAGAAGGGATTTCCCACTCCTCACTTCATTCTAACTTCTCTCAGACAAAGTACTATTTGTGTCCCTGTTTAGATAAAAAGCCATAAATATCTATAGCAGTTTACTCTTATGAACTGGGGTTATGCTTATTTTTCATCTTTATTCACGTGTTTATTTAAGTAGTTTAGTTTATGGCAGTCATTTAGCTATTCAATAAATATTTATATCTGCTGCAGCACATGAGAGAGTACAGTGGCGGGGGAGGAGCTGGGGTCAAAGGCAGGAGAGTATCTGGGACCTGGGTTCAAATCCCAGCATGGCCAATTGTTAGCAATGTGGCCTTGGGCAAATTTTTTTAACCTTTTTATTGGTAGAAAAAATGAGGTTATACCAATAATAATGTATATAATATTGAAATAAAAATAAAATATTACTATTAATAATATATAACAGTGTCCTTGTAAGGATTAACACATAGTAAACCCTCAGAATAAATGGTATCTGATACATGATGAATGATTACTAAAATTTAGCTATCCCTGTTTAGAAAGAAGCCTTCCCTGCCCTCAAGTTGCTTATAACCTCAAGGACTTGGATCAATTTTACTTCCATTTGTGACATTTTTCATCTTTGCTTGCCTACCAGAAAGTCTTTTCAGAAACAGCTCCTGGGTTTAGCATGTTAAAAAAATGATTCTCCTTGATAAATTCATTAAGAGCTCTGTCCCACGCATCGCGGGGACAGTTGAGGCCGTTTTTCCGGGGGAGCGAGCAGCCTCCACGCTGCAGCCACAAGGAGAGGGGAGGTCCAGCCGCGCTGAGGGTCTGCAGGTGTCTGTCCCCGGGCCAGGGCCGCTGCCCTCCCGCAGCCTTGCGCGGCCTCCCTCTCCAGGCCCGACAGATGGACCGGCCACGGCTTCCTCCGCGGGAGCAGCAGGAGCCTAGAAACGAGGGCTAGGCCTGCAGAGGGTTCTCCAGAGCCTAGCAACTGGCCTCTTTGGCAAAGCTTAAATGTGTTTAATTTAAACGTTCCTAAAATAGACTCCTGGAGGGGGACCAAATCTTGAGAGCTATGTCCTGAAAGTTCTCAAAAATCTAGGAAACTTGGAGGTGGGACTGTTCCTACCGGAATTTTGTACAAAACTGCGCTAGGCCCTGATGCCCACATGCCGTTCTCCTTACCCCAGCAGAGGGCTCTAACGGGAAACAGACATGGAGGGGGTGTGGAAGAGAGGGCCCTTCCAGCGTGGGAGAAGGCAGGGTGAGCTGGCGGTGCTGACGACCCACGGGGGGTGGCCGGAAGCAGCCCTCCTGGGTCTTGGAAATGAGGGAGTCAGCACTGTTTGGGCAAAAGAGCTCATGGCTGCTGTCGGAGTTGCCAGCCCAAGGAGTGAAATAAGGTGGTGGCCTGGGTGTGTCCTCAGAGATAGGGCCCTGACACTTTGCTAATTAATAAGCATAAGCGAATCAATTGTATCGTACTCTGCATAGAGAAAGAGTCGGTAAACAGAAGGCAAATGGCCAACCCAAATGGCAGGAAACATCACAAAAAAGCAGGAAATTCTCAGTACTTACCTGGCCCTATCTGCAGAGACCAGGGAATGAACTTCCCTCCCACTAGGTAGGCAGCTCCACAGGACAGTGGTGGTTTCTCAGGCCACCAGCAAGGACCCGACAGCACCCATCACTCTACTTGGAGGACATGATCACCAATAGCATGCTAGTGACCGCTATGTGCTTCTGGATCTTCTAGTGACAGCTTTACAAAGACCGGGGGCACTGGAAGAAGCTTCCCCCTCCCTGTCACCTCCATTTTCCACAGTCTCTAAGACTGAATAGTTGTCCAGTCTGGTTTATATATTAGTGCCTTGAGAGTTCAGCCGTCCAAAATCCCAGCCACTCAGGCATACACATGGGTCTCCAATACAGTCCCCAGGTGGTGGCAAACTTGCCAAGATGAGGTGGCTCATCCTGGGAGGCCCCCAGGTAGGCCTGTCCCAAGGGTCTTCTTTTCAAGCTTTTTCCTCATACAAGAGCGGGGAAAGGAAAAAGAAGTTTTCTGACACATTATATATGTCAGGCAGGGTTACTCTTTCTCTCCCCAAAAGAGCTACATGAAGTCTCTGCTCAGCCATGAGGGTCTCCCCGGTGCCTTTATTTATACTTCCCTAGGTCCTTGGCTCCCAATGGAGCGTCATGTATCAGTGCTGTGCAAGGTGATCCATTTGGTTTCGGAAGAAAATATAATAAAAGAAGGTAGTAGAAGTTCTATGTATCTTCATTTGCACCCATCTTTTATAATTCTCTATTTTTTATGTGAATTATAATGCATATAATAGTTTAGCAGATCATATGTATATATGATGAGGGTCATGCTCAAAATTTCTTTACTAAAAGAGATGCATGATCAGAAAAATTTGGAAACCACTCTCGTGGATCACTCTCGAGGAGACCTTGGAAAGGGATATCGAAGTGGTTTAGAAACACAACTTCCCTGACCCGACCCGAAAATGCCATGGCTAGCTTCTCATCTGGCCCAGTGTCCCCCACGCTGGCTGTGTATCCGTATCTCCTGGAGAACTCGACTGTAGGAAGTCCAGCGATGGGACTCCATCCCTCACTCCCTGAGCCAGAATGTTCAGTGGAGGGGCTCAGCGGCCTGTGCCGTAGGCCGACTATCAGGAGATGCTTAGGAGCTTCCAGAATGGAAAGCTACTGGAAGGACCCCTGTGGGTCTGGAGCATGGAAGACCAAGTGGTACATGGTGGGCTTTAGGGACATGAAATAGCAGGGTGTAGGCTCTGTCTTTGTGGAAAGTGGTGCTTTGGCATTTGTCTGCTCTTACTTCTGTCTTCTGGGAATGCTGTCCTCTGGAGGGTTTCCCAGGTGCCCAGGTTTCTCTTGAGCCTGGATGGTAAAAGAACTGCTCGCCCTGAATGAACCCACGCAGAGGAGACTGGAGCACCTCTGCTGTTGGCCTTGGGCGTCCACTTTCTGAGAGTGGTAAGAGAGGCTGAGGCTTGGGAAAAGAGCCAAAGAAACAGTCATCCACTTGAAGGCTCTATCAGAGGCACAAAGAAAGGCAGAGAGGCTCTGTGTGGTCCAGGCCAGCCCAAGTGGCCCAGGGCTAGGGGCTGTTTGCAAAATCTTTGGGCCAACTACAGTATATATCTTCCCAGTCCTGCGCTGTGTATGTTTATCCATCTGACCTCCTGGAGAAAGGGTTTTAGGTAGATAAGATTGGGGGTCTGGACTCTAGGCAAATGCCACTCCTCACATCCTGTTATATTGGGGCACCTCTGCCTAGCACCTCTGTTTATCCTCATTATGAGCAGGAGGTGAAACTGGCATGGACTTTCACTCCACACAGCAGAAAACAGGCCCAGAGAAGCCAAGTGACCTTGCCCACGGTCAGTCGGTGAGGCTGGGGCCATGGCCAGCACCCACTCTCCTCACGCATGTTCCACACAGCGTCCCGGCCCTTGGCATGTTAGAACATGTGCTCCTCGCAAACAGGGTCCACATCCTATTTAGCTTTCGTTATAAGCACAGTTTCAGGCGTATTGTAGGTGTTCATTAAATGTTTGTCAGATGAATGGGAAAAAATCCCTCCCTGCACACCTGAGTCAGGCCCCTCTGTGGCCCCAGAAAGCGTGAGAAGCAGAGCTACTGCCACCCTCTCACACCCCCCACCTCTGTCCTGCCCGGTGGGCTACAATCCCTACCCCGAGAGCTCCTCGTTTGGGTTAAAACATTCCTTCCCAAGAGCCCTGCTACAGTGGACACATCCCATAGACAGTAACTGAAAAAGGAAGAAGGGGTCTTTTTATGCCGTTCATTCATGTATTTGTTCACTCATTCATGCATTTGTATTTACAGCAGTTCCCACCTCAATACCTATTGTCTGACTTGCCGTGAACTGGGACTACTGTCACTGTGGAGAGCAGCAGGTGGGACATAGCGAAGGTAAGTCACCAAGAAAGAGTGACTGTAGGAAGACAGAAAGTTGGTTGTCTTAAATCCCAAAGTTCCAGAAATACTCAAAGATTCACTTCTGTGTTATGAACATGTCCTTATTCTGTGACCTCAAACCCCTTCCTGAAGGTAGGCAACTAACTAATTTCCCTTCATGTGACTCTCTCCTTTCCCTGTAAATCATCCATTTTTAAGAGCATGTTAACAGTTTCCAACTGTGGGAGTGTGTGTGTCCTTGACAACTCACCAATTACTTCCTTTCCATGGGACCAGGAAGTCGTCACCATTGGCAAAAGCCCTACCTGGTCCCGCTACACCTTTTTCATAGAGGCTGTCCCTGATACCCCTGTCTTAGGAGATAAACATACTAATTAAACTCATCTCCCCTCCCCAGGACATTGGCCAGAACAGCCACAATCTTAGACTATTGGACACTGATCTCAGGCCACTCACCTGTATTTATAGTCTCGGAAGCACATTTGATGGGCTTTGAACTTAGAAATGAGAAGTTTGAGAATTTTCAGGAAGATGAGGAAATTGACCTTAAAAAACAAAAGCAGACATGGGTAAGTGATGGACTCCATATGGCTATGAATATCAGGGTCATGCTGGGCCTGGGCCTCAGTTCCTTGTTCATGCAAATGAGGGGCGATGTGGCACTCAGCCAGTCAGGCAGTAAGAGCTCGCAGGATCCGCGCTGTCCCTAAGGCCGTCTCAACTGGAAGCCGGGAAAGGGTCCTGAAAAGCCATTTAGTTTATTCTTCCGCCTCAGGGAAGCCCACTGTCATCTGAGAAAGGCAGATGGATACTTACATTATCATTATTAACTAATATTTATTGAGTACTTACCGGTCCAGGCATTGGCTAACTTCCCATACATTATTTTATTGAAACCTCACACTAACCCTCTGAGGAAGACACACTATTTTTATGACATTATACAATGAGTAAACAGAGCACAGAGAAGGCAAGTACAATTCACAATGTTGCAAGGCTAGTAAGGGCTGAGTCCCTAACTGAATCTAGATTTATTTGATTACAATCCTCCCTTCACCTAAAAAAAAAAAAAAGAAAGAAAGAAAGAAAAATGACACACAGCTTCCCTTCTGTAAAGAAATCCAGCGCTGTTGGCATCCAATTTGATATCCTGTTGCTGCCACAGAATTCACTGGAAAGTGTGTGTTCTCTACTACCCAGAGTACTTTCCACAATTGTATAAACTAGGAAGATTCAGCTTTTCATTATCAGCCTTGGTAGAGATGTTAAGATATGCTTACAAATTCTTTCATACCTTTCCCATCAAAAGGCTAAGCCTAATGTTCCCCTTCTTTTCGAAGTGTGAACTAGATTTAGTTATTTTCATCTAACAAAAAAAAAAATATGGTGAAAGTGACACTATGTGACTTCTAAGGTTAGGTCCTCAAAAGGATAGCTTTCATCTGGTACCCATCTATCTATCGTCTATCTGTCTAGCTACTCATATCCTCTCTTTCTCTCCCTCTCCCTCTCTCTCCCTCTCTTCTCTTCTCTTCTCTTCTCTTCTCTTCTCCCTCTCTCTTTTTCTCTGTCTCACTTCACTCATTGCTCGCTGGGGGAAAGCAAGCCCCTTGTGGTGAGGATACTCAAGGAGCCTGCTGAGAGACCCACATAGGGGAATTGAGTCCTCCTACAACAACCAGCCTCACTGGCTGGCCTCATGTATGAGCCACCTTAGTAGCTGGTCCTCCATCCCCAGCCAAGTCTTCATGCGGTGGCAGCCCTGGCCAGCATCTTGAAGACAACCCCATGAGAAATCACAAGTCTCTTGGAGAGGCAGAAGAGCAAGTGGTTGAGTGTGGGTAGGACTTGAAGAATGAGAACAAGGTTTGTGAGAAGTGACACTGGAGATAGAGGGAGGGCCACTTCCTGCAGAGCATTTCAGCGTCCCACTGAGGACTTTGGGTTGTCCTTTGAAAGCAATGGAAAGCCACCAGTGAATTTGAAGCAGGCAAGTAACCTGATCAGATTTTCATCCTGAATTTTAGAAAGATGATTTTGGTACCAGTGTGGAGAATGGATTGGATGAAAGCAAGACTGGAGGAGGGGAGACCACTTGGGAGGCAGTTTCAGAGTTCCTGGGGGAGGATGATGGAGAAGTGAAGTAAAGCAATAGCCCTGGTGCATCAGTGATGGAAAGGAGAAGATGGATTCAAAATTACTAAGAAGTGTGAGTGAAATGACCTTTGTTATTTGTTGGATGTGGGGGTCAAAGAAGATCTCACATTTTCTCAGATCTCAAACGTGCGGTAGTGCCATTCACCAGGAGAGTGACCACATGAAGGAGGGAGAGCGTGGAGGGAGACGGGGGGAGAAGGCCAGGAATTTTGGACACGCGGTGAGATATTTCTTTCAGGTTCTGAGAAGAGAGGTCCCAGCCAGAGCATGGGGCCACTGGAGTAGGCGAGATTATCTAGGGACACTGTGTAAACAGGGAGAAAAGGAGGGTTAAGAGAAGAGCCTTGTAACAAGAGAAAGGTGGAGGAAGTGGGATCAGCAAAGGAGACTAAGAAGAAGTAGCTAGGGCAATTGGAGTGAACCACAAGGAAATGGTATCCTGGTAGCACACAACAGGAAGAGTTTTGAGGAGGATTAAAGGCTACATGAAATTTAAGCAAAATTAAGAGCATTTAGCAATAAGGAGTTCCCAAAGAGAAGCTGCAGTTCACAGGTGGGAGCACAAGCCAGACTGCCAGGCTTCGCTTTGTGAGTGAAATGTGGGGAGTGGAGACAGCCAACGTAGACTGTGTCGGCTGCAGGGGGAAGCGGACTGATGGAACAGTGGTTGACAAGGAATGCAGAATGGAGATAATACACACTTTCATTTGCAGGGCTGCAAAAGTGTTTTGGTTGTAGTAATTTTTTAAACTGAAAAGACTTAAGGGAGAGGATCCAAGATGGTGGAGTAGGTAGAAGTTACACTCACCTCTTCCTAGGACTACATCAAAATTACAACTAAATTATAGAACAATGAACCTGGATAACAATCTAAAGACAAGATGAAAGAAGTCTTCTAACTCCGGGTACACAAAAGAAGCCACATCAAAACTGGTAGGAGGGGTGAAGATGTAAAAAGATCTGGCCCTGCAATCATGTGCAGCAACTAAGAATCTGGATGGCTATCTCAGCGGCAGAGGCCCCCACTGAGGAGTGTTCTCACCCCCACAGCAGGCTCCCCAGCCCAAAGCAGCAGTGCCAGGAAGAGGAGCCCACATAGCATGTGGCTGTGAAAATCTGCAGGGACTCTGTCTTCCCAGGTGAGACGAAGACTAATGGAAATCCAAGCACCCTCCTAAAGGACCAGTGCACAAAATCTCACTAGTGGCACTCACCCCGGGCTCCAGCCGAGGAACAGTGACTCAGGGGGAACAGGAGTCATATAGGGAGAGACTGTGTTGTGTAGCTTCGGGGAGAGGGCTAGAGGGAGGCACAGCCACCAATGTCCTTGTGTTGAGTCGTCTCCCACACCACCCACAGATGCCATCTTTCCTGGGTCAAGCACTCCCCTCCATGTGGCATTGGCCCAGAGAGCAACGCTAGCCCTACCCTGCTGACTCCTTGGGGCTTCACCCTGCCAAACTTGCACATGGCTGTGGGACATCCTGGTGCAAGCCAGCCTGGGCCCACATTGCAGGCTTTCTTAAATACTCTCAAGAAATTCTGGGCAAGCTTGGGGGTGCCAGACACACAGGGAGAGGCTGAGTTACATGGCTTTAGGGTAAAGGGCATCTTCTCTTGTGGCTGACAGGTATCACCGTTCCTATGCAAAGCTCTCCCTTCACAAAGTCAAATCTCAATCTGTTTTAGCCAATCAACTCTGCTGGCTCCACTCTGGGGACTCCCTGAGATCCCACCCCACCACAAGGATTCATAGGTCTGAGACAGGTGGCTGCTGGCCTAGGCGTACCTGGAGACTTTTGCTGAATGGTCACAGACCCAGCAATGGTGCCAAGTTGGAACCTGTATTAATTAACCTGGTGAACACTATTGGTACTTACCTGGTGACTCACTGAGAATCTGCCTCATTTAACTTGCATTTGTGTGGCTGAGTCTGATGGACAGCCTAGCAGGTAGAGGCAGATCTCAGAGTGTCTTGGGTCTTTTGCTGATTTGTCCCAGGCCTGATACCAGTGAAAGCTGGTCGCAGTATGCAGCGTGGCCTCTCCCATGTGCACACAGGCCCAGCACAGGCAGCTACCAATTGTGGATCACTTTGCAGCTTTTAACAGCTTGCCCAGCGTTGGTCATAGGCAGCATCTGACATTGATCTGCTCTGGAGTCCCTAATAAGAGGTCTCAGAACCAACACACCCAGTGGCTGGGTTTAGATCACATCACAGTATGACCCAATTAGCTGTATAAATGGCACACCCAAATGGAGGTCTTGACAAACACCGGATCCTGTTGGGGCAAATATGCTTCCTGGGGTCACCCCTCTACACAGAAGCTTGTACACTGTGGTTGGGGTCACTCCTCACAGTCAGCCAGCATAAGGGTCAGCTCCATGCACAGATGGGCCAACAGCAATCAAGACTCAACTACAACAGTAAGGCTCACATAAGCCATGCAAGAGACATTCCTGGAGCACCCCACTCAAGTGATCAGAGGGACAGTGCCACTGAGTCCCACAGACTGCCTACTACGTAAGACCACCCTGCAGAGACTGGGAGACACATGGACCTACCAGATACACAGAAACAAATACAAACAGCCAGAATGGGGATATAAATACCATGTCTCAAATGAAAAAATAAAAACAGAAGAAATTCCCAGAAAAAGAACTAAAGTGGAGGCAAGAAATTTACCAGATACAGAGTTCAAAACAATGATTATAAGGATGCTCAAGGAACTTAGGGGAAGAATTGAGGAATTCAGTGAGGGCTTCAACAAAAATAGTAAGTATAAAAGAAGGACATAAAAACCATAAAAAATAACCAGTCAGGAAAAAACAATATAGTATCTGAAGTGAAGAATACACAAAGGAATCAACAGCAGATTAGATGAAGCAGAGTATCAAATCAATGATTTGGAAGACAACATAGCAAAAAATACCCAATTAGAGCAGCAAAATTAAAAAAAATAATTTTAAAAAATGAGGATAATGTAATGGACCCCTGGGACAACATCAAACATGACAGCATTCACATCACAGAAGTACCAGAAGGAAAAGAGACAGAGAGCAAGGTATGGAGAATCTATTTGAAGAAGTAATGACTGAAAACTTCCCTTACCTGGTGAAGGAAAAATACACACAAATCCAGGAAGCATAGAGACTCACAAACAAGATGAACCCGAAGAGGTCCACCCCAAAATACATCATAATTAAAATGCCAAAGGTTAAAGACAAAGAGAGAACCTTAAAAGGAGCAAGAGAAAGACAGTTACTTACAAGGGAGCTCCCATAAGCCTATCAGCTGATTTCTCAATGAAAGCATTTTAGGCCAGAAGGGATTGGCATGAAATATTCAAAGTGATGAAAAGCAAGGACCTACCACTAAGACTGTTCT